TCCTGAGTAACTGGGATTACAGGCGCCACCACACCCAGCTAATGTTTGTATTTTTAGTAGAGATGGAGTTTCACCATGTTGGCCAGGCTGGTCTTGAACTCCTGACCTCAGGTGATCCACCCACCTCAGCCTCCCAAAGTGCTGGGATTACAGGTGTGAGCCACCGTGCCCAGCCTAAGACAATCCTTAACGACAGCAATGACAGAGGTGCTCTTATTACCCCTGTTTCATAGGGGAGGACCTGAGACTGAGGTTCAATAACTTGCCAAGATCACATGGCAAGTAAGGGGCAGAACCACTGGAAGTTAAAAAAAAAAAAAAAATGCTCCTCTCAGGGACGGGGAGAATGATTTGCCAAGAGATTGTAGGAGGATTTCTGGCAGCGTCCGGTGCTCGTTGAGGTTTGTGGCCACGAATCTTAATGGAAGCAATGGAGTGATGAGATGCTGTCCAGCAACACTCAGGGGCTCTGATAGAGGCATGAAGAGGGCAGGTGGGGGTGCTGGGGTGTGGGACTGGGCAGAGCAGGGGGTGAGCTGGGCAGGAAGCAGCTGAGAGTCACAGTGACCAGGGAGGGCGAGGAGGCTTGAACTTCTCATGACAATAACTTTTCCAGGGAGAAGGCCTAGTAGGTCGTGCCAAGGATAGGTCCACGCTACTTGGCTGGAGGTCAGTGTGGACAGGCCTGGCCAGCCCCCAGGATCCTAAGGACCTCAAATTGATTCCATTCTCTACAGCTTATTCCCACTGTGACTCTGAGCTTATGCTAAAAAATTGTGCTGTTTATTTGAAATTCAAATTTAACAGGACGTTCTGCATTTTTATTTGTGAAATCTGGCAACACTATTCCCCTGTAAACCAGTAACACCCCCCTGCGTAGCCATGACCTCCTCTTCCTCGCAGCTCTCTTCACGTCCCCAGCACCACTGCTCTCCTAGTGTCCCAAACTCGGCCTCCACTATTCCAGGGGACCCAGCCAGTCACAGACTCCTGCCCGTCCTTTAGAAACACCCCCCTTTCTCCAGCCCACGGGACCCCTGGCTCCATGCCTAGACAACTGCTGTCACAGCCCCGATGCCTCTATCTGCATCCAGCCCCCACCAGGTGAATATTCCTCAAGCGCCCCCTTGACCATGCCACACGCTGCTTCAGCCTTCAATGCCCCCCACTGCCCATAGAAGAAAGTCCTAATTGCAAGGCTTCCAGCAGCCTGTTCCCATGGCCTTCCCACATGGACCTTCTGCAACCCACCTCTCTCCACCCTGTCCTTGTGCAGGGAGGACCCTCACATACTCCCTCTCCTTCAGGTGGAAACCCACTTTCCCATGAAGACCCAGCTCAAAGGACTCATTGTCTGGAAAGGTCCCCTGACTGCCCAGCCTGGACGGGCTTCTGCTGCCTCCTGTGCCCGCCTCTGGCAAAGCACACACTGCAGTCTTCCACACCTCCTCTTAATTTGCCCAATGGTTCTTACATCTTGTGGTAGCTTGGCTATGAGCTTATCTTCTCAACTAGATTGGAGGCTCCCTAAGGGCAGGAAAAAGATTTTGTGCCTGTTTTCCTATGGTCTCTGGCTCAGTCCCAGGCCAGAGCCAGTATTTGCTGACTTGTGCATGGGTTCTGCACTCCCCTGGCCACTGTCAGAGTGAGAGGACAGGCACCCCTGGGCATGTCCCAGACTCGTTGACCCTCAGGTGGCAGGTTGTGGCTGTGGGCCACAGAAGGCATGCAGGAGGTGGTGTTGAGGCTGGCAGGAGGCTGACCTGGCTCACAGTGCAGGCAGCATGCTCCTGGCTTAGGGCAGGGTCCTTTTGGGCATGGCTTCGGGGTGCAGGTGATGGTCCCTTCCTGTGGGAGCAGACTGAGGTGGCTGCACAGGCCTCAGAACCCCAGAGGGCAGGGCCTCAGCCAAGGCTGGGACATGTCAGAGGGGCAACAGGATGAGTTGGCTCTGAGGGTGTGGGCTACCCTCTGTGTGAACGCAGAAAAGAGACATCCCGCCCCAACTCGAGTCGTCTCTTGATTTTTTTTTTTTTTTTTTTTTTTTTTTTTTTTTTGAGACGGAGTCTCACGCTGTTGCCCAGGTTGGAGTGCAGTGGCGCGATCTCGGCTCACTGCAAGCTCCGCCTCCTGGGTTCACGCCATTCTCCTGCCTCAGCCTCCTGAGTAGCTAGGACTACAGGCGCCCGCCACCGCGCCCGGCTAATTTTTTGTATTTTTAGTAGAGACGGGGTTTCACTGTGGTCTCGATCTCCTGACCTTGTGATCCGCCCGCCTCGGCCTCCCAAAGTGCTGGGATTACAGGCTTGAGCCACCGCGCCCGGCCTGTCTCTTGATTTTTTGTTTTGTTTTGTTTTGTTTGAGACAGGTTCGTAATGTATTGCCCAGCCTAGAATACAGTGGCTTCATCATGGCTGACTGCAGTCTCCACCTCCCCATGTCAAGTGATCCTCCCGCCTCAGCCTCCAGAGCACCTTGGGACTACAGGCGCTCACCGTCATGCCCGGTTAATTTCTTTTTATTACTTTGTAGAGACTGGGTCTCCTTATGTTGCCCATGCTGGCCAGCTTCTGGACTCAAGCGATCCTCTTGCCTGGTCTTTCCGAAGCCCTGGGATTACAGGCGCAAGCCACCACCTGGCATCCTAACGCTCTTGACCCGGGAAAGCATCTCTTTCAGGCGCCAGTCCCACCGAGAGCGTGGGCTAGGGAAGACCTGAGGACCCTTCAGAGCTGGGAGGAATCGGGGGCGGGGCGCGGGGGGAATTTGGGGTTGAGGAATTACTATTTCCCTGTTCCAGACTGCCGAAGGAGCCCAGTGGTGGTCTAGGCCACCGCGCTGTCTGGCCCAGTGCTCAGTCCAGGTACGTAGTCACCGCCGGTAAGTGCCGGCCGCCTTGGGTGGTCTCCCCGGGCGGGACCTGCGCGATGCAGAAGAACCCAGCGCAGTCCGGGCAGAGCCAGCTTTGCCCCGCCGTCCGGACCGGTGCTCCAGGCGCAGCCACGCAAGCGCACCGCAGACAGGTGGGTACCCTCAGCCGCGCGCTCCTCTCCGCGTCCCAGTCCGGCGCGCCCTGAAGGTAGGGGGAGCGGTACCCGCTGCTGCCCAACCCCAAGTCTAGGGCTCCACCAGGGACCGCGCCCCTCAGGCACCTGCGGGTGGAGGGATGAAGACTGGAGTACTGCGGGTTCCGCGTCCAGCTGTGCCTGGAGACCGAGCTCGGGTGGGTGCCTACAGCAGGGTGCGCCCAGCCGACCTGGGACTTCCCAGGCTCCCCTCACACCCCATCAGTTTGGGGTGCTGGCGCCCGACGAGCCCCAAGGCCCAGGCGGCGGAGTCGGTGGGGGGCGCAGTCTCTGCTGCTCTCCCCTCGCCATCGCCCAGGATGGGGGCTCCCGGGCATCCCGCTGGAGGCTGGCTTGGGCCACTGAGGAGCGAGGCCCGATCCTTACTTTCCATGCACTCACCCACGCTCTTATCGGGCCACCCTCACCCTTTCGGGGGAAAAAAAAAGGTTGAGGTTTAAAGCTTTCATCCCCCCCTCCCCCCCGGGATCTTCAGGCCAATGGCAGGAACTGTGCAAGAGTTTGCAGGAAGACGGTGTCAGGTAGAGGCTCCATCTGTCCCTGGGCTCGCGGCCGGGAATGGTAGACGTCGGCCCCCCAAGCAGCGGAGAAGGATGGGGCGCAATAGTTCCTGGGCTGGTTTCTGTAGGTCCTGTCCCAGAACTTAAGAAGACAACAATGAAGAGGCTAAATGTGGAGGAAAAGTGAGACTAGTGTGGCCGGGATGCTGGGGGAGATGGCAAGGACCAGCGCTGGCCTCGCGCAGTTGTCTCCGGACCTGGGAGGGGCGGAGCGGGTACCCGGGAGCAGAGGCGGGAGTGGGGGACTTTCCCAGCCTCGCAGCCACGCTGGGCACAGCAGGGTGAGGACCAGGGTGCTGCTCCTCCAGCAGCAAGAGGAATGGTCCAGAGGCCATCCCTGGGGGTGGGGGTGGCTCCGCGGGGCTGGCCCAAGGGGTGTGCCCCAGGGGAGACAGCCAGAGGTGTGGGGGCAGAGGGAAGGGGGGAGGAGGAGCGGAGGGGAAGTGGGGAGCAGGGGCAGAGGACTGGGGTGGGCCTGGGCCTCCGCGGACCCAGTCACCAGGGCCCGAAAGTGCACCGGCTGTGTCCATAAAAAAAACTGGCAAGACCTCCCCTCCCCCTGCCTCCACCCTCCCCCTACCCCATAGCTGTGGGGCCTGGGGCTGGGGCTGAGGGGCTCCAAGAGTTTAGGGAGGCACTGGGTAATCACCCCTTTTTACCTAAAGGCCCTGCTTGGGGGTTTTCCCCCTGTACCCTGGTCTTCCCCCACCCTGCCCCTGGGAGGAAGCTGAAAGAAACTTCTTCCTGGGCACCTGTTGCCCCAGAGCCTCAGCCTGTCTGGACCAGGCGGGCGGCAGGGCCGGGGGTGTGGGCAGCTCACCCGGAGGGGTGGGATTTAGGATCAGGCCCAATGCAGTGAAACCTTTGTCCTCTGCCTGAGCTGGGTGTGGGTTTGCAAGGAGACATGTGACCCAGACCAACCCTGGACACAGCAGGGCGCCTGCTGTCTGGCTACTCTTACTAAGACTGCTGTGGCACTTCCTCCCCTAGTGGCCCCCTGCTACCCAAGCCTTGCAGCTCCTGGAGTGACGGGACTGTCTCTTGGGACTCCACTGGGGCCCTGGGGTTGGCTGTGAGATTTTACCAGCCCATCAGGAGCACTTGTGCATCCCCTCCTCATATTCCAGATCTGGGGCTCTCCCAACAAGTTTATCTGCTTTTTCCCTGGAGCCCCTCCAGTCCTCCCTGTTGACCCACCTCCTCCCCAAAGCCCTCCCAGGTTAGTCCAGCCACACTCAGCTTCCCACATTTGAGTGCTCATGCACCCACAGCTGACACAGCCCATCAGGCACTTGCCTTGTGCTCTCAGCCTGCTTCACACAGTGTGGGGCTCTGCCTTCCTCAGCCAGGACAGGGCACATCATCTCTCATTTTCCTGGTACCCAGCACAGCTAGGCTAGTGCCCCTCAGAGCAGGTATGCACCGAGGATTGCACACTGGACCCTGGTTCCTCCTGTCCCCAGGCTGGGCTGGCAGGCAGGGGCCAGGCTGGGCATGGGGAGGTGGCAGCTTCCCACAGAGGCTGCCGAGGGAACTGGAGCCCAGCCCCTCTTGGGCCACAAGCCCTTCCTGCCCTCAGCCTTGCTACCTCTGGCCTCTAGGTGTGTCATCAGAGTTCATCGTGAACACCCTGAACGCTGGCTCGGAGGCCTTGTCTGTCACCATTGATGGCCCCTCCAAGGTGCAGCTGGACTGTCGGGAGTGTCCTGAGGGCCACGTGGTCACTTACACTCCCATGGCCCCTGGCAACTACCTCATTGCCATCAAGTACGGTGGCCCCCAGCACATCGTGGGCAGCCCTTTCAAGGCCAAGACCACTGGTGAGTGCTGGCTTCGGGGAGGCCCATCCAACCTGCAGCCCAGCCCAGCCTGGAGGGCTCCGGTGGCCACGCACATCCAGACCATAGTCTGACTCCAGACACCATGGTCAGTTTACCAGGGCTAGAGGTGGGCCTGGCTCTACACAGCACACATTCTGTGGAGTCAGGCATGATGGTGTAAAAGTCCCATTCTTCCTCTCCATCGCGGCCCCTCACTCCTTCAGCTCTGGCCTGCGCTGGCTCCTCAGGCTCTAGCATCACTTTCTCCCCTCCTGGCTTCCCATATTCCTCGGCTCCAAGAAGACACAGTCAGTATTGAGCAAGCTCCCCTCTTGAGGCTGTCTGTAGGATGCGTTGGGTGGGTGTTCCTTTGTAAAGTGACTCTAACCCTGTGAGTTAGCCTGAGTTCCCAAAGCCTGCAAGGGTGAGGGTCACAGCATCTGAGGCCCCAGCCCTGGGGTGGAGCACCAGTTGGAGCTGGCAGCTCAGGGCCCTGGCTGGGAATGGGGCTGTGCTCCTAGAGTGGCCCTTGGAGGAATTTTGGGGGGAGCCGCGAATGCAGGCAGTGAGTCCCACAGGGTGGCAATGCTGACCGAAGGTCCCCTGCCTGGGGAAGAACAGGAAGCCCTTCTGACCAGGTTTGTGCCCCCTCCACCCGCCCCTCAGGTCCGAGGCTGTCCGGAGGCCACAGCCTTCACGAAACATCCACCGTTCTGGTGGAGACTGTGACCAAGTCTTCCTCAAGCCGGGGCTCCAGCTACAGCTCCATCCCCAAGTTCTCCTCGGATGCCAGCAAGGTGGTGACTCGGGGCCCTGGGCTGTCCCAGGCCTTCGTGGGCCAGAAGAACTCCTTCACTGTGGACTGCAGCAAAGCAGGCAGGTGGCGGGGGGAGGGTGTCTCCCAGGGTGTCAGCAAGAGGCCGTCAGGGAGCACGGTGTGGGTCACAGTAGGGGACTCCCTGGTGTGAGCCCATCCCTCTGCCTCCCTCTCCAGGCACCAACATGATGATGGTGGGCGTGCACGGCCCCAAGACCCCCTGTGAGGAGGTGTACGTGAAGCACATGGGGAACCGGGTGTACAATGTCACCTACACCGTCAAGGAGAAAGGGGACTACATCTTCATCGTCAAGTGGGGTGACGAAAGTGTCCCTGGAAGCCCCTTCAAAGTTAAGGTCCCTTGAATGCCAAAAAAGTACCTCCCCAGCCTCAGCCCCCACTTCCAGCCAAACACACATTACACACACACACACACACACACGTGCCACACCCAGACACACGCACAGAATCAGACACTACAAACACCTGCCTTGGGGGTGAAGTAAAGTCACAGCCTCCTCACCCCACTGTGCCCCTGGGGTTGGAGGACCTTGTCTGTGTCAGGACAGTGTCCCTCCCCGGGAACGTGACATGAGGGCAGACTGGGGCCAGGCTCAGGGGCAGAGGCTGGGACATGAGGGACTGGAAGGGGGCTGTGGGACCAGGGAAGCCTTGTACGTCTTCCCAGTGTGGTTTAGAGCTGCTCACCCTGATTCTCCCTGATTCTGTAAAATGGGGATGGAGGTGCCCCCATTCTTCATAAGGGAAGTAATAAGTGCTCATACCTCTGTGCCAGGCACCATGTGGTACTAACCCTTACAAACACTCCATGAAGTGGGTGCTGTTAGAGCTCCAGTCACAGCTCAGAAAAATCAGCCACCAAAAGTGAAGTGACCTGCCAGAGGCCCCAGAGCAGAAAGCGTGAGCTCCAGGATGTGCCGTGGCAACCCTGCCGGAGTCTGTGCTCTGAACCGTCCCACTACCTAGCCCCCTGCAGGACTTGCCTTCCAGAGGCACCCAGTCAACAAAGCCACTTTCCTTAAACCTGCCAGGAAGCCACTTTCCTTAAACCTGCCAGGAATAGCGCTGCCGCTTCCTTGTTCCTCTTCTGGCTGGCTGGCCCTGGCTTTCCTCTGTGACCCCAGATCCAGGCACTGAGGCCAGGTCTTACAGTGGCGTTACAGCCTCCCCGCCGCCTGTGGCAAAGGCTCAGGCCCACTAGGGGCCCAGACGCTGGGGCAGAGAAGCTGCCCTCTCCTTACTGAAGCTTTAAGCTCTGTGGAGAGTGGGCTGGGGAGACCTCAGTCCCTTCCTGGGCTAGGGGGAGGGGTAGCTTCTGACTTCTGGTCTTTATGGCAGGGAGGGAGAGCTTTGGAAGGGTTCACAGCTCCGCCCTCAATGTCCCTTTTTGCCTGTGAGCTTCGCCTGCGAGACCCAACCCTCTGCTTCCCAGCTGCAAGGAGGAGTTTCCCAGCCCTGTGGGCCCACAGGGACGGCTGTCCTCACTTCCTCCCTTTGGCCCCCTCCGCCTGCTGAGCCCAGGGCCCAGCCCTGCCCCCTACCCAGGCTCACCCCACAGCCAGGCCTGAGCTCAGGTGTGGGAATGGGGCTGAAACCAGCCAGTGAAGGGTGGCCTTGGCATTTGGGGCCAAGCCTGAGACTACTGGAGTGGGAAGGGGTGTTGAGTGGAGTCCAGGAAAGAAACTTATAGGTGGAGAGAGGAATACACTGGTCATGTCCATGATTTCAGAGATGAGGACTACTTATTATTTGTTATTTACTGAGCATTTACCATGTGTCTACCAACTCTAAATTCTTATATAATCTCACTTAATGCTTACTCAAGTCTATAAAGTAGATGTGGTGATCCCCAGTTTACAGATAGGGAAATTGAGGCGCAGAGAAGTTGGTGGTCTAAAGCCACGTGGAATTGGCTGAGCAGGGATTTAAACCCAGCTCAGTCTGCTTCTTCTGTAAACCTGTGAGAGAGAGGAAAAATCCATCTGGAAACTCCAGGCGATGGAGTAACTTAAAGGGGCAGGGAGACTGTCCAGGAGCCCCAGAGGGGTGGACTTGGGTTTATTTTCTTTTCGGAGTCTCCTCCTGGATCTTAAGCGGAGACAGGGCCTGTACCCACGTTGGGCTTCCTGCGAGCTGGAGCTGCTCTCTGGGGTCAGGACCGGCCGGGGCCGGGGAGGGTGGAGGTATCCATGGGAAGCCTTTCCCATGGCGCGCGCGGTGGGGGTTTGAGCCCTCTCTGAACAAAGCCTGGGTGGGAGCGGCCTGTGTGTCCCCACCCCGCCTCCCCCAGCGCCTGCTGAGCCGCGACGACAGACGACGGCAAGCGAGGCGGAGCTAGCATGGCCGGGGCCGGGGCCGCTGCGCTGTCCCTTCTCCTGCAGCTCGGGGGCCTGGCGCTGGCCGTGGGCGCGGGCGCGGGAGGTGAGTCCAGGCGCGGGAGACCTGGGGTCCGGCCAGGTGCGCCCCCTGCCTCCTATCAGCCCGGCCTGAGGGGGCCGAGCGGGGCCGGGGGCTGCTTGTCTTAGCCCTGCCTGAAGTTCACACGCCTCCCTGGCCAGCCCGGTCCTCCCCGTCGGGGGAGCGAGCAGGGTTGGGAAGACCGCGGCCAAAGCAGGGGGTTCAGGAGCGGGGGGGGTTCCTGCAGCCGGCGGCGGGAGAGAGCGCGGCTGCCCTGGCATCTGGGAGTCTGAAGTTAATTATTTGTCTTGACGAAGGAGGGGGAGAAAGCAGGCCCGCTGTGGAAGCTGACTTTGAGTCTGTGTCTGGCCCTCCCTGGAGCGGGACAAGCGGGAATGGAGGGCTCGGTGCCGGCAGGGGGCCAGGGGAGGCTGAGAGGGGAGCCCGGTACAGTTCCTGGGGGACCAGTCAGGTTTTTGCCACTCGGAGCTCTTTCCGCAGGTCTCTCCAGGCAAGGCTGGCCCTAGCTTCACCTAGGGGTACCAGAGGATCCAGCTTCTCCCGGACTCCTTCTGCCTGCCTGCTTAAGCAGTACTGGAAGAGGGGCCTGGGAGGAGGGGCCCTGGGCAGCAGGGTGAGGTCCCACGGGAGTCCAGATTGGGTAGAAGGTTTCAGATGCTGACACGCCCTTCGTGGCCGCCCTCTGTGTGCTTGGGAAGGACTGAGACCGAGTGCCATTCCGGGTGACAGGATGCCCAGTACAGGGATGGAGATGGGAAAGGGTACCTGGGGTTTGGGGGCCAGCATCTGCCCATGGTGCGGGGTCGGAGTTAGAATCCCTGATATGAGCGGGCAGTAGCGGGGCTGGAAAGGTGGGCGGTGCTTGTGATCCGTTCCAGCGGGACTTACTCCTGGGAGACTTCAGCTGTGTGATTCAGAAAGGTCGAGTGGAGAGAAGGAACGCAGATGGAGGCAGGGACAGGGCTTTGCCTTCTGAATGGAGAAGGTGGAGAGAGGAGAAAAGGGGGATGGATTAGGGGACAACTCAGACAATAAAAGAGGGGAGCTGAGTCCCAGCTTTCTGGCTTAAGTAACTGAGTAAGTGGGATGGCATTAACCAAGCCAGGGAACTTGGGGCAAAGCAAGTTCAATTTTAACCTAGAATCCCCTCCGCCTTTGATGGTGACAGTGAGTGACATTGTTCCCCTATCTCACAGGCCTAGTGTCTGTGAGAAACCCTTTTAAGCCACTCCAGGCCTGGCCTCACTAATGAGCTGCCATGGTGGGAAAGACCCAGCCCTCTCCCTCCTCCTCTGTCTGTTCCTGTTGCATCCCGCTCCAGACCCTCCACTTCCCTGCCGATCCCTGCCTGGAGGAGGGACCCATGTCTGCCTCCTCCCCTCCTGCCTTTACTTTCCTGGCTGCAGGAGAAGGATCAAAGTGAAAAGGTGAAAGTGACCATCCCCAACCCCAGGCCAGAGCTCAGAGGTGCCCTGTCCCCCTTTCCTGGACATAGTGTCTTCTAGAATCAGGGACAGGCTGCCTTCACTGGATCTGTTGTGTTCAAAGCTAGTGGAGGCCTTGCCAGCACCTTTCTCAAACCCTTCAGGAAATGCAGCCAAGTCCCACTTTTGGAGCCCACCACACCCAATGTGGGGGCCCCCAGGACCCCCTGTCACAAGCCTGGAAAACTGTGCTCAGGGTTGAGAGCAGGAGCAGGGGGAGCAGTTGTCCTTCTCTCAGCACTTTCTCCAAAAGTGATGGCTTTTCTGACAGGTGTAGACAGAGAGTCAGGGGATGGGAGCTGCTCGTGTTCTCCCTGAAAAGACTCCCAGCCAGACCCCAGGCCCCTGAAAGCAGCTCCACCTGGCGCATGTCTGTGGCCTTCCCCTGTGTTTCAGCCTGTGCTGGCTTCCAGGCCCTCCCAGCATGACATGTCAGCTTCCCAACCATCCCTGGCCAAGCCCCTGGCCCAAGAGAGGCGGGATGATCCTGACATGCTCACCATGGCTGGGGACATCAGCCGGGGCAGGCTGCAGAGCAGCCCTGCTCCAGAGACTGCTCCGTGTCCCCCGGTGGGCCGGGGGGCCTGTGGCTCACCCAGACAAGCAGGAGAAGCTGGTCTGGGCCACATTTGTCCACTCAGAACTTCCTTCCCCTTCTTCCATGCCCTCGCCTCCAGCTTTCACTCCCCAACCCTCACAGACCACATCTCCTTCCCTGGATGGTGGGCGGGCAAGTGGACAGGGTGGGGTGCACAGGATGACCCCCTTCCCCTGTGGGTCAGAAGACAGAACCCAGGAAATGTGGCCAGGCCAGCCCCTCACCCTCAGGCCCACATGGGATTCTTGTGCCCTTCAGGTGGGACTGTCCCCAAGGAGCCCCCTGGGCAGCAGACACCTGTCCACTCCTCAGCCCCTTCTGGGGACCCCCAGGAGCAGTGGCTCCCCCTGCGAGAGTGGCTGGGGCGGCTGGAGGCTGCAGTGGTGGAGCTCAGAGAACAGGTACCATGGAGACAGGGCTGGTGTGCATTGAATGGGGAGGGCTTCTCATAATGGGAAGGAGGGAAAAGTTCACCTTGGAGGGGGGTTCCTAAAATAGAGCTTTCTTTCATTGCACATGGAAAGGAAAGGCTCTTATCTGAACAATTTCCTTTCTTCTTTTCTTTTCTCCTTCCTTCCTTCCTCCCTCCCTCCCTCTCTCTCTCTCTCTTTCCCTTTCTTTCTTTCTTTCTTTCTTTCTTTCTTTCTTTCTTTCTTTCTTTCTTTCTTTCTTTTTTGTGAGATGGAGTCGCCATCTGTCACCCAGGCTGGAGTGCAGTGGCACGATCTCAGCTCCCTGCAACTTCTGCCTCCTGGGTTCTAGTGATTTTTGTGCTTCAGCCTCCTGAGTAGTTGGGACTACTAGTGTGCACCACCATGCCGGCTAATTTTTAATATTTTTAGTAGAGATAGGATTTCACCATGTTGGCCAGGCTGGTCTCAAACTCCTGGCCTCAGGTGATCTGCCTGCCTCAACCTCCCCAAGTGCTGGGATTATAGGTGTGAGCCACCATGCCCGGCCTGAACAGTTCTTAACATTTATTCTTTCATACAAATGAAGAACCTGCAGGCTATTTGTTTTGTCAGTTCATGTTTCATGCTGTTCCATGTATTTGGGAAATGTCATGGAATGTGCTCTGCATAAGGCATCATCAAGAAATATTTTGGATGGGTAAAGATGTCTTTAATTCTTGGGGCAAGGGTTGGGTCCCCATTTTGTCCAAAGAAGAGAATGGAGCTCATGCTCCCCTGAGAACGGTGATCATTTGAGCTGGATGCTGACTGAGGGGGACCCATCTCTGCTCTGGAACTGGCAAACTTCTTTCTCATCCCGCCTCATTTTCACACCCCTCATCTCTGCTGGAGATGGTGGGGACACTGAGCCAGTGCCTGCTATTCCATCTCCTTCCTCCAGAATAAGGACCTGCAGATGAGGGTGAGGCGGCTGGAGTCCTGTGAGTGCCACCCTGCATCTCCCCAGTGCTGGGGGCTGGGGCGTGCCTGGCCCGAGGGGGCGCGCTGGGAGCCTGACCCCTGCACAGCCTGCATCTGCCAGGATGGGACCGCTCACTGTGGCCCCCAAGCCCACCTGCCCCATTGCGGGGGTAAGTGCCACCCTATCCGCCCACCGGGGCCACCTAACGGCCTGCAGATGGCATGGGGTGCTTGAGTGACACTGCTGTCTCCTCAGGCTGCAGCCAGAATGGCCGGACCTACGGCAACGGGGAGACCTTCTCCCCAGACGCCTGCACCACCTGCCGCTGTCTGGTGAGCTCCCAGGACCCACCTGGGATGTCCCTCACCTTTCTGCCTCTCTTCAGCTACCTGTCACCACAATGTGGCACTCCAGATGTCGCATAATGGGCTCTGCCTGCCACTCCCACACATTGCCACGGTGGCTTTCAGTTGATTTCAAGTAGGAAAAGGAGCTCAACACCCATGGACACTGGGGGGCCCTCAAGCCACTCAATTCAGACCTGGCCAACAGTGGCGTGGAGGGCAGAGAATGTATTAGGTTGGTGTAAAAGTAATTGCGGTTTTTGACATGACTTTTAATGGCCAAAAAACCGCAATTACTTTTGCACCAAGTTAATAGTTGCTTGTCCTCCTATGTCACCTCCCACTCTTCCACTGCCCATCTTCTACCTCAGAACCCCCTCTCCTGCCTGTTCTCCCTCACCAGGCTCTGCATCCACCTTCCCCCAGTCTTTCCTTCCTCTTTCCTCCACTGAGAAAGTCTTTCGTCTTCTTCCTAGGATCTCCCCTCTCTGGGGAATTTGCTGGCACCTGGAACAGATGGTTCCCCAGGGTTAAGAGCATCAGGAGACGATGGGAGTGGGGGCGGGATGTCTCTTTTCTGCCTTTACAGAGAGGGTAGCCCACATCCTCAGAGCCGACTCATCCTGTTGCCCCTCTGACATGTCCCAGCCTGGGCTGAGGTTTTGCTTCCAGAGGCCCTGTGCTCTGGGGTTCTGAGGCCTGTGCAGCCATCTCAGTCTGCTCCCACAGGAAGGGACCATCACCTGCACCCCGAAGCCATGTCCAAGAGGACCCTGCCCTGAGCCAGGAGCGTGCTGCCCGCACTGTGAGCCAGGTCAGCCTCCTGCCAGCCTCAGCTCCACCTCCTGCATGCCTTCTGTGGCCCACAGCCACAACCTGCCACCTGAGGGTCAACGAGTCTGGGACATGCCCAGGGGTGCCTGTCCTCTCACTCTGACAGTAGCCAGGGGAGTGCAGAACCCGTGCACAAGTCAGCAAATATTGGCTCTGGCCTGGGACTGAGCCAGAGACCATAGGAAAACAGGCACAAAATCTTTTTCCTGCCCTCAGGGAGCCTCCAATCTAGTTGAGAAGATAAGCTCATAGCCAAGCTACCACAAGATGTAAGACCCAATGAGCAGATTAAGAGGAGGTGTAGAAGGCTGCAGTGTGTGCTTTGCCAGAGAAGGGCACAGGAGGCAGCAGAAGCCCGTCCAGGCTGGGCAGTCAGGGGACCTTTCCAGACAATGGGTCCTTTGAGCTGGGTCTTCATGGGAAAGTGGGTTTCCACCTGAAGGAGAGGGAGTATGTGAGGGTCCTCCGTGCACAAGGACAGGGTGGAGAGAGGTGGGTTGCAGGAGGCCATGTGGGAAAGCCATGGGAACAGGCTGCTGGAAGCCTTGCAATTAGGACTTTCTTCTATGGGCAGTGGGGGGCACTGACGGCTGAAGCAGCGTGTGGCATGGTCAAGGGGGTGGTTGAGGAATATTCACTTGGTGGGGGCTGGATGCAGACAGAGGCATCGGGGCTGTGACAGCAGTTATCTAGGCATGGAGCCAGGGGTCCCGTGGGCTGGAGAAAGGGGGGTGTTTCTAAAGGACGGGCAGGAGTCTGTGACTGGCTGGGTCCCCTGGAATAGTGGAGGCTGAGTTTGGGACACTAGGATAGCAGTGGTGCCGGGGACGTGAAGAGAGCTGGGAGGAAGAGGAGGTCATGGCTATGCAGGGGGGTGTTACTGGCTCATAGGGGGATACGGTTGCCAGATTTAGCAAATGAAAGTCTAGAATGCTTTGTTATATCTGAATTTCAATAAACAGCATGTCAGTTTTTAGTACAGGTATATCCTATTCAATATTTGGGATATTCTTATACTGAAAATGATGTTTTATTAATCTGAAATTCAAATTTTACTGGGCATCCTGTATTTTGTCTGGCAGCCCCACCAAGAGAGGAGTCTCAGCTGGTAGTTAGAAAGGTGGGACAGGGACTCAGACCAGTTGGGTCTGGAAATGCAGCCTGGGGTGTTGGCTGGAGAAGAGGACTAAAATCTTGAGGGTTTATGAATCTCAAAGAAAAGAAACACAAAGAAAAGACACACACACACTCTCTCTCTTCAGGGCACGTGGTGCCTCAGGGCCACCGCTAGCCTATATAATGTCTTTGGTGAAATTTTAAAAGGCATCCTTTCCTCAAGACACTACTTCCATCTGTTGTAAAATAATGGAACTGTGCCGATGATGTGCCTGTCTGACACTTTACTGCCATCTGCTGGAAAGGTGTAGTAAATATTAAAATCGCTGATGTCCGTCACGTGAATGGTGTCCCTTTAATGTGGCACCCAGTCCTTTGGGTCTCTTACTTGTGGGCCAGGGCCTGGTTATCCAGGCTGCCCTGGGGCCACGGGGCTGGGGAAGCATGGCATCCAGAGCCCTGTGTCATCCACACCTGCCAGGTAAAGGAATCAGCCACCACCCATATCCCTGCTGCTGGGCAGACTGCCGGCCTGGCCATACCAAGCCCAAATATGGGGGCTAGGCAGAGCTGCTACTGACGCTGCCCAGGCATCAGGGCTGAAGCCTGCCAAGCCTGCAGAGTAAGCCAGCTCTGGCAATGGAGAGGGACGGAGCAGGAAGGGACGAGGAGGGAGAGCGGAATAGACAGAAAGAGGGAGGATGGTGTGGGGAGGGAGGGCTGGCTCAGTATCTGCCCTGCAGGCAGGGGCTGTGCAGTGCCAGCGGTTCTCATGTTCAGAGCTCAACTGCTTGGAGAGCTGCACCCCACTTGGGGAGTGCTGCCCCATCTGCCGGCCCGGTGACCTGCCCTGTCCTGCCCTGCCCTGCCCTGCCATCCCTTCAACCCCAAGGGTCCAGTACCTACTTGGGGTCACGCCTTCCCTCAAGTGATGTTCACCCACCCTGCTCCCTGGTAACCCACTTGTCATCCTGCCAACCTTCACAGGCTGTGAGTATGAGGGGCAGCTTTATGAGGAGGGGAGCACCTTCCTATCCAGTTCCAACCCTTGTCTGCAGTGCACCTGCCTGGTGAGTCCACCTGTCCCCTCGGCCTAGGCCCTGCTCCTCCCTGGATACCTGCCCTGCCACTCCTCCAGCCCCCTCACATGCCTCGCAAGAGCTGGAGCCAGCTAGGCTCTCCCTCCATCTCTGCCCTGTGTCCCCCTTCTCTGAGGGTGCCCAACACCCACCCACCCTGCCCTCTGCGGGAGCCAGATCAGAAGCCTCACAGCCACTGGTGCATTACAGAGGAGCCGAGCTCGCTGCATGTCCCTGAAGTGCCCGCCCAGCCCCTGCCCACAGCCAGTCCTGAGGCCTGGGCACTGCTGCCCGACCTGCCAAGGTGAGAGCCCCTGGCCCTTCCCTGGTAGAGCCACAGGTAGGCTATCGTGCCATTTCTTGAATTCCAGAACCCACCTTGCTGGCCTCCGGTGGGTTTGGTCCATGGGGGAGCTGGAATGCCTGAGCTCAAATTCTGCCATTGCCATCTAGGGCTTGTGTGACTCTCTACCACAAGTTCCCCATGTGTAAGGTGCAGATAATGATATTCCATACCTCATTGTGATCTTAATAAATGCTTGCTTTCTACTTTGTGCTCCCCAATCATTAGACATGGGGTCAGCCCTCAGGGATGACCACTAGGGTGTGACACTGAGTCAAACACTAATGCAAAATCCTGTACCAGTCAAGGGCAGGAATAGAAGCAGGTACCAGCCACTGTGCGGATTCAGAGGAAGGAGACCCTATCCAGCCTGGGCACAGGAGGGAAAGCGGCCTGGAGGCAGCTGGTCCCCAGGTGGCCCTTAAGGATAGAGAGCAGTTAGCTTGGTGAAGGGCTGACGAAGGCAGTGAACCTCCCAGGAAGTGGGGAGAAATCAAGCACAGGTGTGGCCCTGACACTCAGGGTGGGTGTGTGATGTTGGCTGGGAAGGTGCGAGAGGTGACGAGGGGCCGGAGATAGGTGGTGCACATGGGTGTGGCCATGCTCTGTCCAGGGAAGACCAGAAAGGGTGGGCTAAGGAGCTGAGGCCTCACCCTGCCTGGGGCACTGGGAGCCACTGGGGAATCTAGGCAGAGATCTGACCCCATCTAGTCTTGGCTCAGGAGAGAGCCCTCAGACGGCATGTAGACAAGGAGGGCGGGCAGGCTGAGGCTGGGGTCTAGGCCAGCTCCTACCAGACCTCCCTCTGCTCACCCCCTCAACCCTAGGCTGCACAGAAGGTGGCTCTCACTGGGAACACGGCCAAGAGTGGACCACACCGGGGGACCCCTGCCGAATCTGCCAGTGCCTGGTGAGTCCTGAGGCTGCTCCTGGTCTGTCCCCTTCCCTGCCCTCAGGCCCACTGTATTCTTTCCCTCATGCCATGGAATACTTCACAGAGGTGTTGAAAGAGAACCCAATGGAGAAGACCTAGGCACTGTCTGCTGGGGGCTGGGCAGAGCTCATCTGCGTGCTCAGCTCTGAGCCCAATAGGTGCTCAGCCTGGGTTAGTGAATGAACTCAAGGAGCCCACAGGCTGGAGGAGGAGACTGGGCAGGATATGGCAGGCAGCAAAAGCTCCAGGGCGGGAGAATCACAGTTTGACTTGAGACATCTAGAACTGTGCTGTCCAATTTACAGCCACTACTACATGTGGCTACCCAGCCCTTGACGTGTGGCCAGGTCCAAAATGAGATGTGCCATAAGTGTAAAATATATGCCGGATTTCAAAGACCTCCTATGAAATAGAGGGATGTAAAATAGTAATCTATTATATGTTGATTACATGTTGAAATAACAGTTTGGATATATTGGGTCAAATGAAATATGTTTTTAAAACTTAATTTCATCTGTTTTGTCTTCATGGTGGGGGCAGTGTTTACTTACGCCTCAAAGGGCAAGTAGGGTTTGAGCAGGGAAAATGAGGGGAAGGTACCCCAGATATAAGGAATAGCCTAGGGGAGGTAGGAACATGTAAGCCGTGATGGCCAGGTGGGCACCTGAGGAGGGCTGTGTTTCATGGGAGCTTCCTGACAGCCTGCTAAGTACTAAGGACTCTGTGCGAAGGCTACAGGGCACCCAACCCCAATGCAATTGTTACAGGAAAGGGGTCCCAATCGAGACCCCAAAAGAGGGTTCTTGAAACTCGCGCAAGAAAGAATTCTGGGCAAGTCTACAGAGTAAGGTGAAAGCAAGTTTATTAAGAAAGTAGAGGAATAAAAGAACAGCTACTCCATAGACAGAGCAGCCCTGAGGGCTGCTGGTTGCCCATTTTTATTTCTTGATGATATGCTAAACAAGAAGGGATTATTCATGCCTCCCCTTTTTAGACCATGTAGGGTAACTTCCTGACATTGCCATGGCATTTGTAAACTATCATGGCGCTGGTGGGAGTATAGCAGTGAGGACGACCAGAGGTCACTCTCGTCGCCATCTTGGTTTTGGTGGGTTTTGGCTGACTTCTTTACTACAACCTGTCTTATCAGCAGGTCTTTATGACCTATATTTTGTGCCGACCTCCTATCTCATCCTGTAACTTAGAATGCCTAACCATCTGTGAATGCAGCCCAGTAGGTCTCAGCCTCATTTTACCCAGCTCCTATTTAAGATGGAGTTGCTCTGGTTCACATGCCTCTGACATTTTCCCCCTCCCTTTTATAAGAGAACCCTTAATCCTAAGGGGTGCAAAGGGACAAAGATCCATCTGTAATTTCTTCAGGCTGAATAGGGGCAATGACATTCCTGCCTAACTATTAGGGTCTCTCTCTCTTGTGTTCAGAGTAGAGAGGTGCTTAATCAGAAAGCATCAGTATGGCAAGGGCCATTCATAACTCCGAGTTCTGACAAAAGTTGATATCTGGAAGATTAATAAATGTTTAATTTAAGAAAATGTTGAGTAAGCTTATCCTTATTCCTACCCAAAGAGTACAACAGAAACATATTCCACAAGAGTAAAGCAAAATCAGTGAAATTATCTCAAGTAAACTAAATTAGAAGGTTTTCCATGAACTGGACAACTGTTGGAACCAAGCTGATATGGGATTGCTAGATGATTCCAGTACATGCCTAGAATTAGAATATTGACTCCAGATTTTTACATAACCCATCCTTTTTGTTTCTTTTCTGCAGCAGCCAGTGATCTCTGGTTGGGTCACAGGAACAAGCAGTCAGTCTAAATTGCAAAAACAAACTTAAAAACAACTGCCAAGACTAGAATTTAATAACAAGTATGCCATAGTTCTTGAAATATAATATTTCTCTCTCCAGTTTCCCATTTTTACTAAAGACTAATCATGGTAACACTGATTTGCCTTATTATATTTGGCCTGATTATTTGTATAAAGTGTGGCAAGAATAATTATTTTTTATATAAGCTCTTTGAAATTGGCTTTGATGGAACTCTGTTCCATAAAGAATCTCAGATAGGATTTTTTTTTTGAGCCAAGCCTTGCCATGGGTTTGTACCCTCAAATACCTATGAGTTGAGTAAATTCCTCTCCTCTTGAGGTTCCAAGATAACTTGGGGCTCCTGGGCCTGTTAGAAAGTGACATTCTTTACTTACCACAGGTCAGAAACCCGGTACAGGCACTGTGTAGGCAAGGTATGAGGCCAGTTTCCCCAAGGGGCGTTTATGGGCTCTACAACTCAAGTTTGATTCCTTAAGGGAAAGTATGCCATTCCAGTCAAAGCCTTGGTAAAATAGCCAGTTTCTCCAATTGTGTCCTGTTACAAAAGAAAACAGATTTTTGTTGCACACATGCAAATAGCTATATTGCCATAAATTAAGAATACTCACAAATAGTTTCCAAATTCTGGATAAATTAGGTAGAAAGAAAGAAATATGCTTCAAATTTTGTTCACAGGAGTATACTTTACTCAATTGCCAAAAGCTGTAAATAGCTCAAAAAAAGTTTTTTTTTTACTATGAAAAATAAAACAAAGGATCAGCAATGTTTTGAACAAAAAGTCAAATAGATTATGTCAGAGTCCATGCAGTTAACTTCTGTTTGACATTCATGAACATTTCAGCTCTCTATGAGAGTTCTGAAAGTTTTTTCATCTATTCTGATATCACAGTCTCCAAAGTTATCAGAAAGCCTGCATCTAAGTGCACCTGTTGAAGTTCTATAGTTGATTATAAAACCACCTTTTAAAGAGGGTTAAAACAAGATAACAATTGTTTGTGGATGGTAAAAAGTTTTAGGACAGCCACTATAAAAGCTACAATTGATAAGAAAATTTGGTTACTCTTGTGGCATATAATAAAAAGAAAAATTGGTTACTCTTGTGGTATATAATAATTTCACATAACAATTATAATTATTAATAACATACACTGTCATATCAGCATTATAGGAGTTTCTTATAATTTTGCAACATATAACACATTTATATAAACACAGCCATAAGAAAACCAAATACCATTTCATATTTGACAGTACTTCCTATATGACTTTTATACCAAATAAGCCAAATGTCGCTGTTGCATGGGTGCATTATTGCTGTCAAACTCAATTCTTAATAAAACCTTATAGACAAATATTTCTTAATCAGTTTGACTATAAGGTAAGATTTGCATAAATGTTTTATAACCCTTTACAAATTTTTGTTAAAGAGCAGATTACAAGCAGGTTTTGCTTTAAGAAAAACCTGTTGCACTTTTATTCCAATGCTCAATTTACAGAAAAACTGGATAATACCCCTTTAACCTTAACCAATATGTTCACACACAATTTATTTTACAAGATTAATTTTTCACAAACCTTCCACAACTTGCTCAAACCTTCAGCTTTATTCTGTCTAACTTAAAACAATCTTTTAACCCTCTAAATTTAGGCAATAAATCCATATTCCCATGACTTTTTATAATCCTTTACCAAAAGTACATTCTACTTTTCTTATATACCTTGCATGTAGAACTATTTTTTCAGTAGTCTCAATCACATGTTACAATGGTAACCCTTAGCAACTTTTACTTTTGGTGAAAACCTTGGTAAATTCAGGATTTTAACTATGTACTAGGTGTGGAACCTAGCCTAGGACACACCAGGCAGAAGTGTAGATAAGGTATGACTTTTTCCAGCATAGCTAGGGGATGTGGCAAACTCCACATGTCCCAGGACTTACCTAACTGTAAAGCAGGCAAGTTGTATAGTTAAGAGTCATAGTGTGGCTGGGTGCTGTGGCTTACACCTGTAATCCCTGCACTTTGGGAGGCCACAGTGGGCAGATCACTTGAGGTCAGTGGTTTGAGACCAGCCTGGGCAACATGGTGAAACCCCATCTCTACTAAAAATACAAAAATTAGCTGGGCATGCTGGTGCATGCCTATAATTCCACCTACTCAGGAAGCTGAGGCAGGAGACTGGCTTGAGCCCAGGAAGTGGAGGTTGCAGTGAGCCAAGATCGCACCATTGCACTCTAGCCTGGGTGACAGAGTGAGACTGTCTCAAAAAAAAAACAGAAAGAAAAAAAAAGAGTCATAGCGGCATTTTATGAAACTTTTAGGAGGCCTAACACCCTTTAAATTGTACAACATTTATTGCATAAATTCCCTTTCACGAATTCTTTCATGACTTACACAGACAATCTATAATATGCTTGGAACTTTCTGACTTGTCTTAAACATTCCTCTCTTTAAACAACCAGTCATTTTACTTTAGAACACGAGTTTACCATACAAGATCCTTTCTTATATAAAATCTGTTTGCTTTATAACCTTTTTTGCATAGCTAGGAGACATGGCTAATTCCACATGTCCCCAGGCCTTATCTAGAATCTAAAGCTCCAAAATAAATTGGATAATTTTCAAAAGTCAAAGAAGCAGTTTATGACCTTAAAGCATTTAGCAAATCTAATATCTGACCTGCATAATTTAGACCAAATGTTTAAATATTTGAAGATATTTTTATTTTATCAATAATCTTTAAGACTGTGCTTATTTCCCAAAGATTACTTAAGTCACATGAACTAAAAGGCATTAGACTTTTTACTTTTCTGACAAAATATTTAAGCTCTTATTATTATTGAACCAATTAGTTAAAGCTCTTTTCTATATAAACATCACACACACCACACATATAAATACACAGACAAAAGAAGATAAAGGGCCGGGCGCGGTGGCTCAAGCCTGTAATCCCAGCACTTTGGGAGGCCGAGACGGGCGGATCACGAGGTCAGGAGATCGAGACCATCCTGGCTAGCACGGTGAAACCCCGTCTCTACTAAAAAATACAAAAAACTAACCGGGCGAGGTGGCGGGCGCCTGTAGTCCCAGCTACTCGGGAGGCTGAGGCAGGAGAATGGCGTAAACCCGGGAGGCGGAGCTTGCAGTGAGCTGAGATCCGGCCACTGCACTCCAGCCTGGGCGACAGAGCGAGACTCCGTCTCAAAAAAAAAAAAAAAAAAGATAAAGGGCTCATCCTCTAAGTTGTGAATTGAACCCTGAACCCAAGTCACCATTGTGATGGCAGAGACCAAGAGAGAGTACTGCCATGTGGTTACAAGGTCAAGCTCCCAAGGACATACAAGACAAGAGGGAAACCTTATCCAGTTTTTTTTCAGGGACCTGCAGCAAAGTTTGTAACTGACCAGTTTGCTGGGTTGTCTTGAAAAGCAGGCTTACAGGTGTCCTAAGCCTGTGTTCTATTCTAAGGTACCCTTCTTTATGACAGAACAACACAGAAAGACACACAAAGCACACCAGATTCACTATAGCTTAAGACTAGCTCACACATTCTTTTTTTCCATTAATCAAAACTTTGCAGAGGAAATAAACGGTGATTTTTACCATTCATTCAACCAACTTGCAGTGGAGGGCAAAGGGGGAAGCATTGCCTGAGGCAGAGTGGGAAAGGTGAAGTGCTCAGGGAGGCCAGAGAAAGACCCACCTGTTGCTCAAAAGTTTGGGTGGCCGCGTATCAGTAGTGAAGGGATTTTTTTTTTCTTTTTTTTTGAGATGGAGTCTTGCTCTGTCACCAGGCTGGAGTGAAATGGCATGATCTCAGCTCACTGCAACTTCTGCCTCCTGGTTTCAAGTGATTCTCCTGCCTCAGTCTCCCGAGTAGCTGGGACTACAGGCGTGTGCCACCACGCCCAGCTAATTTTTTTTTTTTTTTTTTTTTGGTCAGATGGAGTCTCGTACTGTCCGTCGGGCTGGAGTGCAGTGGCGCAATTGTGGCTCACTGCAACCTCTGCCTTCCGGCTTTAAGTGACTCTCCTGCCTCAGCCTCCCAAGTAGCTGGGATTACAGGCACCTGCCACCACGCCCAGCTAATTTTTTGTATTTTTAGTAGAGACGGAGTTCCACTATGTTGGCCAGGCTGGTCTCAATCTCCTGACCTCATGATCCTCCCACTTCAGCCTCCCAAAGTGCTGGGATTACAGGCATGAGCCACCGCGCCCGGCCAATTCTGTATTTTTAGTAGAAACAGTTTCACCATGTTGACCAGGATGGTCTCAGTCTCTTGACCTCATGATCTGCCCTCCTTGGCCTCCCAAAGTGCTGGGATTACAGGCGGGAGCCACTGCGCCCGGCCACAAAGGGAGCTTTTTCGGCAGTCCTATCAGCTCTTAAGTTTTCCCTTTTAGCGAGGAAAAAACTCCTCATGTCCCACGATCCTGTATTTGCCTAATCCTGTCACCCACAGCCGTCAGCTGTGAGTACAAGACAGATTAATCCCAAGAGAATAGCAGTTAACATCCTGTAGTGCCAAACCCATTCTTAACTGGGAGAGACTTTACCCAGAGGGGCCTCTAATCGTTTAAATCTTAGAACAGACTCTAACCCTCCTGAGTTGGGCCTCTATCCCAAGGCCCATCAAGTGTCCATGCCTTTTATTAAGAGAGGCCTCTAACTCCCCTAAGTGGGGCCTCTGACCCAATCCCATTCTTTCCCTGGGTATATGCACCCCACTGGTGCAGCCTATTTAGAAGGTCGGGGGATTTCTTCAGTATTGTTCCTTCCATGGCTCATCAGAAAGATGTTACCAGACCCCATCACTTACCAAAATTAGCCTGTGGGTCGGGGGTAACTGCACTATCATCCCTTCAGTGGTCGCCAGAAAGATGTTACAGGAAAGGGGTCCTGATCCAGACCCCAAGAGAGGGTTCTTGGATCTTGCACAAGAAAAAATTCAGGGCAAGTCTATAGAGTAAAGTGAAAGCAAGTTTATTAGGAAAGTAAAGGAGTAAAAGAATGGCTACTCCATAGACAGAGCAGCCCTGAGGGCTGCTAGTTGCCCATTTTTATAGTTGTTTCTTGATGATATGCTTAGCAGGGGGTGGATTATTCATGACGCCCCCTTCTAGACCATGTAGGGTAACTTCCTGCCATTGCCATGGCATTTGTAAACTGTCATGGCGCCGACGGGAGTGTAGCAGTGAGGACAACCAGAGGTCACTCTCATTGCCATCTTGGTTTTGGTGGGTTTTGGCTGCAACCTGTTTTATCAGCAAGGTCTTTATGATCTGTAGTTTGTGCCGTCCTCCTATGTCATCCTGTGACTTAGAATGCCTAACCATCTGGGAATGCAGCCCACTAAGTCTCAGCCTCATTTCACCTAGCCCCTATTCAAGATGGAGTTGCTGTGGTTCAAACTCCTTTGACACAACCATATCCTCCCTCTCCCCACCCATGAGAAGTCATTGGCTGCTCAGACCCTGACGGAGCTGGAGGCAGTGGGCCCAGGGATGTGGGTGTGAATTCAAGGCATGGGGTCTTTTGGAGTCAGGCCATTGGGGAGTGGCAGCAGTCACCATGCTAAGTACCAGCTTCTAGAGGTAGGCGCCACACCAGATCCCTTGTTTCCTTTGATCCCACAACAAGCCTATGAGAACAGGACTATTATTGTCCATTTTTTTTCAGATGAGTAAACTGAGTCACAGAGAGCTTAAGTGACATGCCAGTTTGTGTATCCGTATGACTTTCTTGGGCTGCTGTAACAAAGTGCCACTTACTAGGTGTCTTGAACAATGTAAATATATTGTCTCTCAGTTCTGGAGGCCAGAAGTGTGAGACCAAGGTGTGGGAGGGTTGGTTCCTTCTGGGACTGTGAGGAGGAATCTGCTTCAGCCTCTGTCCTCGCTTCTGGTGGTTCGCTGGCGATCACTGGCATTCCTTGGCTTCTGCAGCACCTGAACCTCTGCCTTCTCTTTTCCATATTGTTCTCCCTGTGTGTGTATGTGTGTGTATGTGTCTGTGTGTAAATTTCCCCTTTTTAGAGGGATACTGCCTGGCACAGTGACTCACGCCTGTAAACCCAGCACTTTGGAAGACCAAGGCATGTGGATCACCTGAGGCCAGGAGTTTGAGACCAGCCTGGCTAACATGGTGAAACCCCGTCTGTGCTAAAAGTATAAAAAATTAGCAGGGCATGGGGGTGCGTGCCTGTAATCCCAGCTACCCGGGAGGCTGAGGCAGGAGAATCGCTTGAACTCAGGGGGTAGAGGTTGCAGTGAGCTCAGATCACACCACTGCATTCCATCCTGGGCAACAAGAGTGAAACTCTGTCTCAACTTACAACCTGTAAACCTGCAACTTGTTTTATCAGCAAGGTCTTTTTCACCATCTCAAAAAAGAAAAAAAAAAAAAGATACTAGTTATATTGGATTAGAGACCAACCCTGATCCAGTATGACCTCATCTTAACTAATTACGTCTGCAATGACCCTGTTTCCAAATAATGTAACAGGCTGAGGTACTGGGGTGAGGAGTTCAACATATGGATTTGGGGATGGGGCCACACAATTCAATCCATAACAACATCTAATAAGTGGATAGCGGGGATTCTAATGCCATTTCCTCCTCTCAGTTGAGCCCTGACAGCCCCTTCCCCTATTCATTCTCCCCACCAGGAGGGTCACATCCAGTGCCGCCAGCGAGAATGTGCCAGCCTGTGTCCGTACCCAGCCCGGCCCCTCCCAGGCACCTGCTGCCCTGTGTGTGATGGTGAGTCGGTGGGTAGGGCAGGGACCTGACCACGGGGGGCAACCTGGAGAAAGCTGATGGGTGGCCCTGCTCGGAAGCCCATGGAGGCCAGGAGAGGGCAGGGAGGGGCCCCGGAGGAACATCTAAGGCCCCCCTTCCCAACAGGCTGTTTCCTAAACGGGCGGGAGCACCGCAGCGGGGAGCCCGTGGGCTCAGGGGACCCCTGCTCGCACTGCCGCTGCGCTGTGAGTGTGGCTGCCTGGCAGGGAGGGCCTGGCTCCCGGGCCTGCCTCTGGTGTCCTGACCAGGCCCTGTTGGCAGAACGGGAGTGTCCAGTGTGAGCCTCTGCCCTGCCCGCCAGTGCCCTGCAGACACCCAGGCAAGATCCCTGGGCAGTGCTGCCCTGTCTGCGATGGTGAGTGGGGGCCGGAGTCACTGCGGGAGGGGCAGCCTTGGCCACAGAGAGGCTCCAGGTGTGGGGGATTTGCTTCTCTTGGACCTAAGCCCCTGTTACCCTGTTCCCAAAGTGAGTCCTCACCACACCTTCTCATGACAAACTGGCACCATGCTGGGGCCTGCGCTTCTGTGGCATAGCTGTGGGGGGCGGGGGGCTGCTGGCAGGGCACCCTGGAGAACTCTGCTGGGTCTTCTTTGTCTGGGTGGGGGTTGGACGTCTTGGGGTGATGTGAAGCTTCCCGTCTGCTTCCAGTCCTATTACCCCACGCCCCTGTCATCCCATCCAGGCTGTGAGTACCAGGGACACCAGTATCAGAGCCAGGAGACCTTCAGACTCCACGAGCGGGGCCTCTGTGTCCGCTGCTCCTGCCAGGTAGGCGGTTCCTCCGCTCACACCCAGATCTGCCTCATTCCTTCAGGGTGTCTCACCTGCTTCCCTCCTAGGCTGGCGAGGTCTCCTGTGAGGAGCAGGAGTGCCCAGTCACTCCCTGTGCCCTGCCTGCCTCTGGTCGCCAGCTCTGCCCAGGTGTGTGTGAGAAGGGGAGGAGCAGCTGCTACGGGCGCTGCCTCCGGGGGCTGCAAATGGAGGGTGCTCCTTCCCTGGATGGCGTACGGGTTGCTACATCCACTAGCCATTCTACAGTGTCAGTGGGGATGGTGAAGCTGGGGTCCCTGTGTCCTGGGAAGGACAAGGATGAGTGGGAGGTGTGCAAGCTGCCATGTGACAGCCCCCTTACTACAGCCTGTGTGCTGGATGGAGAGGAGTTTGCTGAGGGAGTCCAGTGGGAGCCTGATGGTCGGCCCTGCACCACCTGCGTCTGTCAAGATGGGGTACCCAAGTGCGGGGCTGCGCTCTGCCCCCCAGCCCCCTGCCAGCACCCCACCCAGCCCCCTGGTGAGTGCCTGGGCTGATCCTGGCTTTCTTCCCCTGCATTACCCAGCTCACCCTGACCAGCCTGCCCCACCCAGGTGCCTGCTGCCCCAGCTGTGACAGCTGCACCTACCATGGCCAAGTGTATGCCAATGGGCAGAACTTCACGGACGCAGACAGCCCTTGCCATGTCTGCCGCTGCCAGGTAGCTGCCCAGCCTTGCTGCTGCCCTACTGAGCCCCTCCTGGGCGTGCCCCCATTGCTCTCTCCCCTGCTGTCCCCCAGGATGGAACTGTGACATGCTCCTTGGTTGACTGCCCTCTCACGACCTGTGCCAGGCCCCAGAGTGGACCGGGCCAGTGTTGCCCCAGGTGCCCAGGTATGTGGGCACTCACTGTGCCTGAGGGGATCAGGGCCCCAGAGGCTGCTGTCCCACAGCCCCATGGACCCAACAGATACCTTAGAAAGCATTGGCCTTCTGAATTGTTTCAGTCCTGTTTCAGAGTTTAGAACTCTCTGGAACTCTGGGGGGGTGTGTGGGTGGGAGGGAGAGTAGAGATTTGTTTATTCCTGCCTGTACCTACACCACCCTCCCCTCCCATGCTGCATTTCCTCTTTTAGTAACTACTGTCCCCCACCACCACTCTAGAGCCCCCATCCCCCACCCCCCAGGTATCTACCTGGATAACACAGGTTCATGAGCAGACACTTGAGCCTGCCACATAGGAGGCCGGGTGCTGGGATGCATGGGACATGTCCCTGCCCGCATAGAGTCTGTGTGAGGGCATGTGTCAAACACAGGTACACACGTGTGTAAGCACTCCCCTTCTTCCCCTCAGAGACACACATCTGCCTGCAGGTGAATGATCCCCAGTGCACATGCACACACACGTGTGTGCTCAGAATGATACACACGCCTGCACACATGTGCACATGGCCACTTCCTCCTCTTCCCTATCGAGTCAGCTTCCAAGTGGGCACTTGGGCAGCGGCTCTGGACTCCAGGGCTGGAGGGGCTGTCAGGCTTTGCCCTCATACCTGCCCCACTGTCCACCGCCTAGACTGCATCCTGGAAGAAGAGGTGTTTGTGGACGGTGAGAGCTTCTCCCACCCCCGAGACCCCTGCCAGGAGTGCCGATGCCAGGAAGGCCATGCCCGCTGCCAGCCTCGCGCCTGCCTCAGGGCCCCCTGTGCCCACCCGCTGCCTGGGACCTGCTGCCCGAACGACTGCAGCGGTGAGCTGGGCGAGTCGGGGCGACCTTCTGGGATGACGTGGCCCTGGGAAGGCAGCAAGCCCTGGGGGAGTCGCCCTTTCCCAGGCTATAGCCGCTCCCTCCCACAGGCTGTGCCTTTGGCGGTAAAGAGTATGCCAGCGGAGCGGACTTCCCCCACCCCTCTGACCCCTGCCGTCTGTGTCGCTGTCTGGTGAGTCTGCATCTGGGTGGGAGGAACCTAGGGGAGTGGAGGCGGGACTTGCGGAGGCCAGGAGAGGCCCGCCCAGGTGGGAGGGGTGGGACCTGGTGGCACCTGGTGGCAACTGGATGGGAGGGGTCTCCTCGGCCTCCCCCAACTAACCCACCGACCCGTGGTGCGTCTGTCGGTCCGTAGAGCGGCAACGTGCAGTGCCTGACCCGCCGCTGCTCGCCGCTGCCCTGTCCAGAGCCTGTCCTGCTGCCGGGAGACTGCTGCCCGCTGTGCCCGGGTAGGGGCCGCATCCCTCGGCTGCTCCTCCCCCGAGGTCCCCTCGGAGGTCTGTTCCTGGGCCCCTTTGACGCGCGCTCTCGCCGCAGCCTCCCCGGCCCCCGCCGGCTGCCCACGGCCCGGCGCGGCCCCCGCCCGCCACCAGGAGTACTTCTCCCCGCCTGGCGATCCCTGCCGCCGCTGCCTCTGCCTCGACGGCTCCGTGTCCTGCCATCGGCTGCCTTGCCCGCCCGCGCCCTGCGCGCACCCGCGCCAGGGTCCTTGCTGCGCCTCCTGCGACGGTAACGCCCTGGCGGCGCCCCTCCAGGCCACCAGCGTCCTGCAGCCCCATCCCGGCCCGCCCCGGCCCGCCCCGCCTCGGAGCGCCCTGCCCAGTCCACCTCCTCCAGGCCCTCTCCGCCCTCGTTAGGAATGTAATGTCCGGTCAGCAAGGCCTGGGAGCCAGCCCGCACGGCCCCCAGCCCCCACGACCCCCAGCCCGCACGGCCCCCAGCCCCTGCCCTTCTCCCCAGGCTGCCTGTACCAGGGGAAGGAGTTTGCCAGCGGGGAGCGCTTCCCATCGACCACTGCCGCCTGCCACCTCTGCCTTTGCTGGGAGGGCAGCGTGAGCTGCGAGCCCAAGGCATGTGCCCCTGCACTGTGCCCCTTCCCTGCCAGGGGCGACTGCTGCCCTGACTGTGATGGTGAGGGTCAGGGGATAGGGAACTGCGGGGGTGGGATGGGGGGGACCAGAGGGCTGGGTCAGCATAATCTTTACTGCCCCAGGGTGGATCTAAAATATTTATTACAGTAAGAAAAAGCCCTGAGGCTGGGAGCCTAGATCGAGCCTGTGACCTCAACAATTTGGGAGGCTGAGGCAGGAGGATCGCTTGAGCCCAGAAGTTCAAGACCACCTTGGCAACATAGAGAGATCTTGTCTCTACACAAAAAATTTTAAATCAGTTGGTTGCGGTGGCTCTGGTACTACTTGGGAGGCTGAGGTGGGAGGATTGCCCAGGGGTTTGAGGCTACAGTGAGCCATGTTTTCGCCACTGCACTCCAGGCTGGGTGACAGAGTGAGACCTTGGCCAAAAAAAAAAAAAGCCTGAGACAAAAGCCTGGATCTCCTCCTGCCTCTGTTACTATTTGGTGCGTGGTCTTAGGCAAGTTACATAACCTCTGGGCCTAAATTTGGCTCTTGTAAAAAGACCCAGTCCCCCAGTCCTCCTGTCCTCCCTCACTCTTGTGCAATCTTGGCAGTTTGGGCCAGTCGCCCTCTACCAACTGCAATTTTGTTTACTACTTGCCTTCCGATTAACTCACTTATTAATTTAAATTGATTTAGAAAGGAGTTTTATATCATACTGTAAGTGGAAAAGTAGACTTGCCAGGACCACATTACCATAAAAATGAATACAATTAAAATGATCATGTTGTTAAATCCTAGTCAGATACTTTTGCCCACCAAGGCTTTGAGCCTGAAATTCACCCTCTCTTTTTTAAAAAGGGAGGTGAGCAAATGGCAGAGGTGCCAAAGGCAGGCTGCCACCACCCTGGGACCCTACCCCCTCCTGGATTCATCAGTGGGCTTGGAAGAGCGTGGGAAAGGTGCTACCTTGGGTTCGCACCACCTGAGTGAGCTGGGGCTACTCCCAGCTCTCCGGGTTGGAAAACTGGTGCCTCTGGCAGTGGCCTGCTGAGTATTTAACCCTGGGGCAGCAGATTCCTTGTGGGTGTTTTTCTACAAGTTAAATAGGAAAGTTTTTTGCAGGACAAAGGGGAGAAAGTTTGCCGTTTGGCCAATCCAAACCCCGCATCCCTCACGACTGCTTTGCTCCCTGGGCTTGGACTGTGACCCCCACCCGCTACTCTAGATCTTTGAGATCTTGGACGCATAACAGGCCCAAGCTCAGAGCCTACAACTGCTGTGCTCTGATCCCTTTCTGTCCCTCCCCTCAGCCTCTCTGTCTCTTCTCTGAAAGGCTGTGAGTACCTGGGGGAGTCCTACCTGAGTAACCAGGAGTTCCCAGATCCCCGAGAACCCTGCAACCTGTGTACCTGCCTTGGAGGCTTCGTGACCTGCGGCCGCCGGCCCTGTGAACCCCCGGGCTGCAGCCACCCACTCATCCCCTCTGGGCACTGCTGCCCGACCTGCCAGGGTAGGGCCACACCTGCCCTTCCATTGCCCCTGCTGGGGTTCCCAGGAGTGCCTCTCTCACGATTCCGCTTTCTTCCCAGCCCTCCCACTGCCTGTCTCTCCACCATACTTTCCTCTCACTCTCCGACTCCCTCACCTTTGATAGAGGTCCCGAGCAGGGCTGTGTGTTTGTGTGTATGTGTGGCTCTGTGTATGTGTGGCTGTGTGTGTGTGTTTGTGTGTGTCTGTATGTGTGTGTGCGTCTGGCTGTGTGTGTGGCTCTGCGAGTGTGGCTCTGTGTGTGTGTGGCTCTGTGTGTATGTGTGTGGCCATGTGTGGCTGTGAGTGTGGCTGTGTGTGTTTCTCTATGTGTGTGTGGCTGTGTGTGTGTATGTATGTGTCACTGTGTGTATGTGTGTATCTGTGTGTGGCTGTGTATGTGTTGCCCTGTGTGTTTGGGTGTGTGTGTATGTGTGTGTGTGTGTGTGTGGCTCTGTGTGGGTGTATCTGTGTATGTGTGTGTGTTGCTCTGTGTGTGTGACCGTGTGTGTGTGTCTGTATGTATGTGTGTGGCTGTATGTGTGTCTGTGTGTGTGGCTATGTGTGTGTTTGTGTATGTATGACTGTGTGTATATGTGTGTTTGTGTGGCTGTGTATGTGTGTGGCCCTGTGTGTGTGTGTATATGGCTGTAGCTGTGTATGTGGGTGTGTGTGTGTGTCTGTATTTGTGTCTATGTTTGTGTGTGTGGGGGGGCTGTGTGTGTATGTGTGTGTGTGGGTGTGTGTGTGCTTGTGTGTGGGTGTGTGTATGTGGGGGGGCCATCTCTGTATGTGTGTGGGTGTGTGCACATCTGTGTGTGTATGTGGGGGTGTGTGTGGCCATGTGTGTGTGGTTGTATGTGTATGTGTCTGTGTGTGTGTGGCTCTGTGTGTAAGTGTATGTGTGCCTGTGTGTATCTGGATGTGTGTGTGTGTGTGTATGTGTATGTGTCTGTGTGTATATGGGTATATGTGTGTATGTGGGTGGGTGTATGTGTGTGTGTGGCTGTGTGCGTATGTGTGGAGGGGGAGGGGCTGTGCGCGTGTGTGTGACAGTGGCAGTTCCGTTGATGGCAACTCTTCTGTTGCACTCCCCCCTGCTGTGTGTATGTGTGTATGTGTGTGTGTGTCTGCGTATGTGTGTGTGTGTATGTGGTTGTGGGTGTGGCTGTGTATGTGGGTGTGTGTATGTGTGTGTGTGGCTGTGTGTGTATGTGTGGAGGGGGAGGGGCTGCACGCATGTGTGTGTGACAGTGGCGGTTCCGTTGATGGCAACTCTTCTGTTGCACTCCCCCCTGCTGTGTGTATGTGTGTGTGTGTGTGTGTGTGTCTGCATATGTGTGTGTGCATGTGGTTGTGGGTGTGGCTGTGTGTGTATTTGGTGTATGTGTGTGTGTGGCTGTGGTTGTGGGTGTGGCTGTGTGTGTTGGGATGTGGGTGTGTGTGTGTGGTGGTTGTGGGTGTGGCTGTGTGTGTATCTGGGTATGTGTATGTATGTGGGTATGTGTATGTGTGTGTGTGGCTGTGGGTGTGGGTGTGGCTGTGTGCATATGCGTGGAGGGGGAAGGGGCTGTGTGTGTGTGACTGTGGCAGTTCTGTTGATGGCAGCTCTTCTGGTGCACTCCCCGCTGCTGTGTGTGTATGTGTGTGTGGGGAGGAGCTGTGTGTGTGTGTGACAGTGGAGGCTCTGTTGATGGCAGCTCTTCTGTTGGACTCCCCACTCTGCCAGGATGCCACTACCATGGCGTCACTGCTGCCTCCGGAGAGACCCTTCCTGACCCACTTGACCCTGCCTGTTCCCTCTGCACCTGCCAGGTGAGGCAGCCCCTTTGGGACTTTGGTCACCTTTCCTCCCTTGATCCTCTTCTCCGGCCAGGAAGAGGCTGTCTCCTCCACTCAGGTGGCAAGGGCTACACTCTGCCCTTGACATCTCATGGGACAGGACTGGGCTCAGGTCTCCCGGGCCAAGGGAGGGTGTTTGGGCCCCTGCAGGCTCAGTAGGGTCTCCAGCCCTGGGGAAATGTGCAGCCCAGTTGAGGGTGTGATGGGCCTCTCTCCCCTAGGAAGGTTCCATGCGCTGCCAGAAGAAGCCATGTCCCCCAGCTCTCTGCCCCCACCCCTCTCCAGGCCCCTGCTTCTGCCCTGTTTGCCACAGTGAGCTGCCTTCCTCGTGCCCGGCCCCCACGCCCTTCCCCACCTCTGCCTCCCCCTTCCCTTCCTGCCAGGCCTAAGGTTGGGCTGAGCAGGGCAGGGTGGTACAGGCCCTCCACCCAGGAGGTATGTCCCCCACAGGCTGCGTCTCTCAGGGCCGGGAGCACCAGGACGGGGAGGAGTTTGAGGGAGCAGCAGGCAGCTGTGAATGGTGTCGCTGTCAGGTATAGCAGGAGGTGGGAGGCATGGAGTGACGGCTGGACCATAGCACCTCTGGGGCCCAGCCTAGGCAGCAAGTCAGTATCTCTGCATCTCCTACAGGCTGGCCAGGTCAGCTGTGTGCGGCTGCAGTGCCCACCCCTTCCCTGCCAGCTCCAGGTCACCGAGCCGGGGAGCTGCTGCCCTCGCTGCAGAGGTATGGCTGCCCCCAGCCCTACCCCTTGCTTCAGCCCCTTGGCCCTATGTCCCTCTGTCCACCCCACCTCCCTCCCCTCAGCCAGCTCTTCTCCCACCTCCCTGCCCCCACAATTGGCGCTTGCATACACCCTTGCCACCTTCAGCTTCTCCTACCTCTCCCTGTCCTGGACTGCCCAGACCATCCCTCTTCCAGGTGCTGGTTAGAGTTCCCTCAAAGCTGCCTCTCTTGGTTTGGGTGCAGCAGCTCACACTTGAAATCCCAGCACTTTGGGAGGCCAAGACGGGAGGATCACTTGAACCCAGGAGTTTGAGGCTGCAGTGAGCTGCATTTGCACCACTGCGCTCCAGCTTGGGCAACAAAGAAGACTGTCTCAAAAATAAAATAAAAAGCTGCCCCTCTTTCTAATCACACCCCATTCATCATCATCATCATCATCAAGATACCTGACATTCACTGAACAGGTAGCATGTGCCAGGCCCTGAGCACTTTACGTGTATTATCTCATTTAATCAGCACAACAACCTTACCAGATAAGTACTCTTATTCTTCCTATTTTACAGATGAGAAAGTGGAGGTACAGAGAGGTAGAGAAGGTGGCAGAGCCAAGATGGGCACTTGGGCCATCTGGCTCTGAACTTGAGCCTTTCTGAGCCTGCCCACTGCCCCTCACCCCACACACTGCCCAGCCTGGTGGTGTTTCTACAGAACCACAGAACTGTCATAGCATTTCACTTGCTCTGTGAGGGAGGCAGGACAGAGGAAATCCCCATTTAACAGATGAGGAGACTGAGGCTCAGAGAGATTGAGTTATCTTGGGCACACAGTTAGCAATGGAGCCATTCACCTGGTCCACATGCATTCATGACACAGCTGCTACATGCCAGGTACTGTGACCGATACGGGCTGCACTGGGCAGTGCCCGCTGCCTGGAGCTTGGTCTTCAGAGCAGGCAGGAACAGAACAGGATTAGAACCCAGGTGTTCTGAACCCCACCCAGTGCATTTCCCCTCCACAACAGACAGGAGTTCTGCCCCATCCTTTCTTCCTGCCAAATCCCTGCAAACCCACTACTCCTGGCGCCACGTGCCTAGCTGACCACTGAGGGTGGGGGGCTAGGGGCAGACGTCCAGATCTCAACCTCCAAGCTCGTCCCTGCCCACCTTGCACCACAGGCTGCCTGGCTCATGGGGAAGAGCACCCTGAAGGCAGTAGCTGGGTGCCCCCCGACAGTGCCTGCTCCTCCTGCGTGTGTCATGAGGGTGTCATCACCTGTGCACGCGTCCAGTGCATCAGCTCTTGCGCCCAGCCCCACCAGGGGCCCCATGACTGCTGTCCTCGATGCTCTGATACTGGAAGCCTGGGACGGGAGGGAAAAGGCAAGGAGGGAGCCCTGGGCCCATACCTCCCTGCCTGTGCTGGGCTGGGTGGCAAAGACAGGTAGTTGGAGAAGTGGCCTCCATCCTTGTGCACACTCCACTCCCTGGGGTCAGGGGGAGGCTGGGGACAGAGGACTCTACCCCGGCCTCGCTGCCAACCTGAAGGCCCCCTGATCCCGTTTTGCTCTCACCCCAAAGACTGTGAGCATGAGGGCCGGAAGTACGAGCCCGGGGAAAGCTTCCAGCCTGGGGCAGACCCCTGTGAAGTGTGCATCTGCCAGGTAGGTGAGGGCTCAGTGGAGGGGCTAGGGCACCTCGAGGGGTGGGGAGTGGGCAGCATGGGATGAGGCCCAGCCAAGCTGGTCACTTCATGGAGCGGGCACTCTGGGGGCCAGACGAGTGTATCCCTGTGGCCAGGAGACAAGGCAGGGCTGGGACCAACAAGGCCTGGAGGCCTGGGTTTAGACAAGGAGCCCACGTTCCAAGTGTGCAGGAGGCCATGGGTGGTCCCCCTGCTGCAGTGCAGGGTGAGTGTGTATGGCCGGAGAGCCACCTGGGACGTGACTAGGGTTGTGGAGATTCTATTTGCAAGGCCCTGGAAGGGCTTGGAGCAGGCAAATGACATCACAGGCCAGGGGACTAAGCCATGGGCCTGGGGAGGAGGATGGCATGAGCCTGCTGGAGGATCAAAGGTCACATGAGGGCTCAGGCCCAAGTGACTGAAAGGAGAAGGAGACATCGTCTCGGAGACTAGGGCATGGGGTGAGGAGCATGTCTAGAAGACTCTGAGTCTCTCTTCAGCCTGGAGTTCAGGGCCCAAGATGCGTCCCGGAAGAGGTTGCAGCAGGCAGAGGGAGGGGCCGGAAGTCCTCGCCAAGGGCAGCTCTGGGTTTTTGTGGCCCGGGACCCACCGCTGCTCACTCATTCTTGTAGCCACAGCCTGAGGGGCCTCCCAGCCTTCGCTGTCACCGGCGGCAGTGTCCCAGCCTGGTGGGCTGCCCCCCCAGCCAGCTCCTGCCTCCTGGGCCCCAGCACTGCTGTCCGACCTGTGCCCGTGAGTACAGGGATGAGCCTGGTACTGGAAGCCTGGGGCAGGAGGGGAAATGCGGGGAGGAGGCCCTGGGCCCACACCTGCTTGTCTCTGCTGGGCCGGGTGGCAGAGACAGGCAGTTGGAGAAGTGGCCTCCGTCCTTGTGCACACCCCGCTCCCTGGGGTCAGGGGGAGGTAGATGAGATATGAGTTATGTATTATGCCACCCCTCCACCAGCCCCAGATTTTTCCTGACTCCAGTGGACTGTTCTGGAACCCCATGCCAGGCCGGTGAGGGCTGCACCATCCCTAGGGGAACTGGGGAAGCTGGCAGGGACCCTTTGCCTCTCCGCAGCTGAGTGCAGTTTGTGGAGCATCTGGCCAGCAGGTGGCGCTGCAAGGCGACAGTTGTGCTGAGACGTGAGGACAAGACAGGCAGTGGGTGGCCCAGTCACAGGGGTGGGCGAGCATTTTTTTTTTTTTTTTTAGAGTAAAGATTTATTAAGATTGGGGGGAAAAGTAAGTAAAGAAACAGTTTTATTTTTATTACAAATATTGAAAGATGGCCAATTTCTGTCTCCTGGATTTAACACTTGTGGTTTACTCAACACAGCCATTTTACATTTGTTGTGAAGGGAAATTTTTTCTGTTTCTGGTTCTATACCAGCACTGAAATGATAACCTACCTTTGCAATACAGGTGAACGTTAGTTATCCTTACATAGAAAAAACAGACCAGGGCCAGTAGCTCACGTCTGTAATCCCAGCACTTTGGGAGGCCGAGGCGGGAGGATCACAAGGTAAAGAGATCGAGACCATCCTGGCCAACATGGTGAAACCCTGTCTCTACTAAAGATACAAAAATTAGCCAGGCGTGGTGGCGCATGCCTGTAATCCCAGCAACTCGGGAGGCTGAGGCAGGAGAATAGCTTGAACCCGGGAGGCAGAGGTTGCAGTGAGCCGAGATTGCGCCACTGCACTCCAGCTTGGTGGCAGAGTGAGATTCTGTCTCAAAAAAGAAAAAACATACTCTTTTAAAATGATAATCCTCCTGTTTTCTCTAGCTTGGTTTTTTGATTTGGGTTTTGGGTTTTTTGAGACAGAGTTTCGCTTTGTCACCCAGGCTGGAGTGCAGTGGCATAATCTCAGTTCACTGCAACCTCTGGGTTCAAGGAATTCTCCTGCCTCAGCCTCCCAAGTAGCTGGGATTATAGGCATGCACCACCACGCCTGGCTAATTTTTTGTGTTTTTAGTAGAGATGGGGTTTTACCATGTTGTCCAGGCTGGTCTCGAACTCCTGAGCTCAGGTGATCCTCCTGCCTCGGCCTCCCGAAGTGCTGGATTACAGGTGTGAGCCACCACGCTGGCTTTTCTGTTTTTTTATTTTTTATTTATTTATTTTTATGGTGTAAGACACTAAAATGTACGATCCTAACCATTTTTTAAGTGTACAGTTTGTGGTATTAAATATGTTCATAATGTTGTGCAGCCATCCCTGCCATCCAGCAGGGAGGTCAACACTTGCTTGGGGGTTCTTCAGGAGAAGGGAGGAAGACCAACATTTATTAAGCACCTACTGCATGCCACACACTGTACCTGGTGCTCTTAATAAAGTCTCTCGCTTTGTTTTCACAGTTACCCAGTGAGGGAAGTATTAATCTCTTTTTACAGATTAAGAAACTGAGGCTCAGAGAGATGGATTAATCTAACCTAATGAGCACAGGCACTGAGTGCTGGCATCAGGATTCGAACTCGGGATGCCTGGCTGTGTGCTTCCCTGCGCTGTTGTAGCCACACTGTATTACAGATAGCAGGAGGGAGAGCAGGCCACAAGCTGGCCATTCTTAGTGACCTCAGGCTAAGGAAGCCATGCTTGGTCTGTTTCTAGTCACCTTGCACCCCTACCCGGCCCCACATAACAACCTAGCAAAGTTTCTTTGCAAATGTGTGAACGTGACTGAATTAAAGAGAAAGAGAACTTGTCCTCCCCGGAGTCAAGGTGCTGGGATGCGGGTATGCCCAGGAGTTCAAGTTAGAAATCTGGGGACACGGTGCATGGGGACAGCTGGGATTTCCAGCCCTGCGCCCCTTTTTCTGTCCCCCACTCTGGGTTCTTGTCTTCACAGAGGCTTTGAGTAACTGTTCAGAGGGCCTGCTGGGATCTGAGCTAGCCCCACCGGACCCCTGCTACACATGCCAGTGCCAGGTGAGCCCTCCTGCCTTGGGGACTCACAGAGCCCCTCTTCTTCCTTCTCTGTGGGCTGTGGCTGCCCCTCCTCTCCCGCAGCAGCTCCGGGGCTCTCCACTCACCCTGACATTTGCCCACTTGTCCTGACTGTCACATCATGACTACGCCTTACTCCTCCACCAGCTCCCTGAGATCCGCCATTCTCTACCTCTTGTGTTCACATGGGTAGGACCTGACATGGCTCTGCATCCACCAAACCTGTCCTGAGCTCAGCTGTCCCCTCTCAGAGCGCCACACTCCCCCTGGGAGCTGCTGCCCCGTGTGCCAGGGTAAGTGCCCAGCCCTGGCCGCCACCCTCAGAGAGGAGCCCAGGGGGAAGACAGGAAGGGGAGACATTCATGGGCCAAGTGGGCAGTCCAGGGTTTGTACTCGGTTTTTAGAAAAGAATACAGGGTTCATTCTTTTCTAGAAATGGAGGGGGGCTGTTCTTGAGGTGGGGAAGAGACCCATGAGGCAGGGGGAAGCTGGGATGAAGCCTAGATTCTCAAGATCTGGCCTGATGCCTCTCAGGAGGCTTGGGATCTCCAGGCCCATGAAGAGGGCATTGCACTACTGAGTGGGCAGCCGGCCCAGAGTGGGGTTCCAGCCTCTGGCCCTTTGGGCTCCTAGGACCCTAGAGACATCCCCAGCACTGATGCGAGGCCTGATGTCTAATGGGCCCTGTGGATATTGGTTGAAGAAATCAACACCATCAGGGTGGTAGGGAAATTGAGTGGGTGCTTTCCTGCCATGAAATGCGGGGTAAGCTCCGAGGAGGGAGGATACAGCTGGAGGGACAGTGCCTGCCCATCCCATGTCTTCCTCCTCAGAATGTGTGGTGGAGGCCGAGGGCCGGAGAGTGGCAGATGGAGAGAGCTGGAGGGACCCCAGCAATGCGTGCATCACCTGCATCTGTCGTGTGAGCTGGGGTGGGTCTGGGAGGGTAGAGGATCTCACAGATGGATAAAGGGAGGAGTGTCCAACACTCCACCAGCAAATATGGGGTCTTTAAGGGGCAAGAGCATCCCTGCACCAGGGCACGGAGCCGAAGGTTGGATTTCATTCTCCACTTGAACTGTGAAGAGTGTATTGTGGGAGGGGCAGGCAGAAGTCCATGCCCAGATGCCCCCAGAAGCATGAGGCCAGGGATTCCGGCCCTGCAGAAAACCCCAGAACAATGATGTCTGTCCTCAGCGGGGCCATGTGGAGTGCCACCTCGAGGAGTGCCAGGCCCTCTCCTGCCCCCATGGCTGGGCAAAGGTGCCCCAGGCCGACAGCTGCTGTGAGCGATGCCAAGGTGTGCAGCCAGGATGATGGGGGAGGGGGTAAGTCAGACCTTCTGGGCATGTGGGAGGGGCAGCTGACCTCCCAGCTCCTATCCCTTCAGCTCCCACCCAGTCCTGCGTGCACCAGGGCCGTGAGGTGGCCTCTGGAGAGCGCTGGACTGTGGACGCCTGCACCAGCTGCTCCTGCATGGCGGGCACCGTGCGTTGCCAGAGCCGGCGCTGCTCACCGCTCTCGTGTGGCCCCGTGAGTACCGCAATCTAAGGAGGTGGGGAGGGTCAGGGTGGGGGCACATGTTACCACCATCCTGGTGTGATCAGGCATCCGAGAGGGAGGCTGGGCTCCTGCAGCCAGCTGGGAGCTGGGGACAGTGCTGTTCCCAGTGCGACCACAAAGTGGTGCCCTGACCTTGCTCGCAGGGAGCCCGGGCGCTGGAATCCTGGAGATCCCTGGAGACTCCTGGGAGATGCTTGGTTTTCTGGGAGGGTCTGCGAGAGGCATGGCCGGGAGGGTGGCGTGTCTGACAGTGTCTGGGGCTGAATGCAGGACAAGGCCCCTGCCCTGAGTCCCGGCAGCTGCTGCCCCCGCTGCCTGCCCCGGCCAGCTTCCTGCATGGCCTTCGGAGACCCCCATTACCGCACCTTCGACGGCCGCCTGCTGCACTTCCAGGGCAGTTGCAGCTATGTGCTGGCCAAGGACTGCCACAGCGGGGACTTCAGGTGTGCATCCCCCGTCTCTCTTCTCCCCAACCCCTACACTCAGCCCTGCTGACCATTGGCACCTGGGACTTTCCCGCCCACAGTGTGCACGTGACCAATGATGACCGGGGCCGGAGCGGCGTGGCCTGGACCCAGGAGGTGGCGGTGCTGCTGGGAGATGTGGCCGTGCGGCTGCTGCAGGGCGGAGCAGTCACTGTGAGCAAAGCCGATGAGCAGAGGAAGGTGGATCCCATGCTGTCCACCCATGTGCCTCGACATCGCCCCTCCTCCCACCTCCTTTATCCTCCAGGTGGATGGGCGCCCAGTGGCCTTGCCCTTCCTGCAGGAGCCACTGCTGTATGTGGAGCTGCGAGGACACACTGTGATCCTGCATACCCAGCCCGGGCTCCAGGTGCGGCTCCAGGGCGAGTCTGGGTGGGCTGCCTGCTGGGAACTTCAGTCCTGTTTAGGCCTCTGTATCTATAGGGGGGTGGGGATGCCAGCTACCTCCTGGCCAAAAGAGGCCAGGAGTGGGGTGCAGGGCTGTGAGGGGAGGTGGATCAGGGTCAGAGATCTCCCCGGGCAGTCAGAGGAGTTCTGAGTTCTGAGACTGATTTCTAATCTTGACTCAGCCTCTTAAGTCACCAACAGCCTCCCCTGGGCCTCAGATTTCTCATCTGTAAAGTGGGGAATGGGAAGGGTCAGTGGCAGTGGGGAGGATGTCAGCTAAAGTCTCCTGGCGGGTGTCTCTGGTTCCTTCCAACCCTCATGTGGAAGGAGTAATTTGCCCCCTGCGCCCAGCAAGAAACACAACTTGTAAATTCATAGAATAAGGGTATACACTTCTAATCTGAACCCTAATTGTGCTTTGTCCTCTGCAAGGCCGGAATGCCCATGAGAAAGTGAATCCCTGGAAGGGGGTTGCATTTCACGTGGGGCCCAGTTGAGGGATGGTGGCAGGAGAAGGTGCCCTCATGCAGGAGCTGTGGGCAGCTCCTCCTGTCATCTGTCTTTGCCCAGGGCTGGCACAGAATGTATCCACTTGGCCTTGGCTGGGGCTGTGTTTCTTCCAAGGGGAGCCTCCATCTGTCCATTCTCCTCCCCTGCAGCACTGGCCGCGCTGAACACAGTGCCTGGGGCCATAATGGACCCTGAGCTTCTTCAGGCCCCTGTCCTTACCTGCTCCCCAGTCCCAGGCCTCTTCACACAGGTGCTGTGGGACGGGCAGTCCCAGGTGGAGGTGAGCGTGCCTGGCTCCTACCAGGGCCGGACTTGTGGGCTCTGTGGGAACTTCAACGGCTTTGCCCAGGATGATCTGCAGGGCCCTGAGGGGCTGCTCCTGCCCACAGAGGCTGCGTTTGGGAATAGCTGGCAGGTGAGTGGCACAGGAACTGGAGATGGGGGTTAGGGAAGACGCAGCTGAGCATGAGTCTCAGAGCAACCCTCTGGCATGGAAAGCGGGGAAAGGGAGTGAAGTCACACAAGATAGGCTTTTGGGCTTTCAGGGAGGTGTGTAGGCTTCTTGACTGTCTTGGTGCTGGAGAGGTAGGGTGGCTTGTTAAAAGAGGCCTCGTTGGCCAGGCGCAGTGGCTCATGCCTGTAATCCCAGCACTTTGGGAGGCTGAGGTGGGTGGATCACCTGAGGTCGGGAGTTTGAGACCAGCCTGACCAATGTGGGGAAACCCCATCTCTACTAAAAATACAAAATTAACTGGGCCTGGTGGTGCATATGCCTGTAATCCCAGCTACTCAGGAGGCTGAGGCAGGAGAATCGCTTGAACCCAGGAGGCGGAGGTTGCAGTGAGCCGAGATCACACCACTGTACTCCAGCCTGGGCAACAAGAGCAAAACTCTGTCTCAAAAAAAAAAAAAAGAGGTCTCGTCACCTGAACCCCCAAGCCTTGCTTTGCCACTCACTGGCTGTGTGACCTTGAACAAGTGCTGACCTACTCTTGGTCTGTCCATCTATAAAATGGGGACAAAAAGAAGGTAGACAGTACTTCCTTTGCGTTCTTTTAGGGAGGTTTTGGGGACTAAAGCAAATGACTGGGTGGGAAGTGCTTTGAAGAGCATGGCATGCAGAGGCCAGCTGCCAGTGGTGCTGTCACATCAGGGCTGCTCTCCCCACCCAGGTCCCAGAGGGGCTGGGGCCTGGCCGGCCCTGTTCTGCAGGCCGAGAGATGGATCCGTGCCGGGCAGCAGGTTACCGTGCCAGGCGTGAGGCCAATGCCCGGTGTGGGGTGTTGAAGTCCTCCCCATTCAGTCGCTGCCATGCTGTGGTGCCACCGGAGCCCTTCTTTGCCGCCTGTGTGTATGACCTGTGTGCCTGTGGCCCTGGCTCCTCCGCTGATGCCTGCCTCTGTGACGCCCTGGAAGCCTATGCCAGTCACTGTCGCCAGGCAGGAGTGACACCTACCTGGCGAGGCCCCACGCTGTGCGGTGAGGGGGTGATGCCCACTGCAGGCTGGGGGAGGGTCAGCACAGAGAAGAAGGGTAGCCCGGAGGGCTCAGGGCGGGTCCACGGTAGGTGTGACGAGTCTCGCAGTGGTACGCACAGCTACTGGGGCAGTTTCAGGTGCCTCGGTAACCCCGCCTCCCACTCCCCCCACCCCCCACAGTGGTAGGCTGCCCCCTGGAGCATGGCTTCGTGTTCGATGAGTGCGGCCCGCCCTGTCCCCGCACCTGCTTCAATCAGCATATCCCCCTGGGGGAGCTGGCAGCCCACTGCGTGAGGCCCTGCATGCCCGGCTGCCAGTGCCCTGCAGGCCTGGTGGAGCACGAGGCCCACTGCATCCCACCCGAGGCCTGTCCCCAAGTCCTGCTCACTGGAGACCAGCCACTCGGTGCTCCGCCCAGCCCCAGCCGGGAGCCCCAGGAGACACCCTGAGCCAGGACAGTGCCTGACCAGGGTTCATCAGGCCAGGAGTCTCCCCTTGGCAAGCAGTTCCCACCCTGGTCAGGGCTGTGGAGAGAATGCCCTGCCTGGACAGTGGAGCCTGGGCCCCTGCCCTGCAAAGACCCCTGCTGTGTTGAGTCACAAGCAGTAAACTCTAGGCCTGCCCGAAGGCTTCCTTGTGTGTGTGTGTATTTCCTCCTGGTGCTGGAACAGAGGCTGGGCTGCCAGGAACATGGGGTCTAGTGATCAATGGCCCCAGAATCACAGCACCATGCACCCTCCTTGCACCTGCATGCCTGGGCTGCCCCACCCAGCCACTCCCTGGTGCTGTCTGGGAAACCCTGCAGTGGTAGGAGGAGGACCCTGGTGCCCTGGTCTTAGCCCTGTGCTCATTCTGTGTAGCAGGCATGATGCATGGCCCCATGTGGTACCTTCTGTGGATCCATGTGGGATCCTGCAGGGGCTGAGGAACCATGGAGAAGGGGCTGCATCAGAGAATGGCCTCCCCCTTCCTTTTGGCTGGGGGATACTGAATGTGCAAGCACCTTCTGGGCCACTCCGAGGGCTAGTGACACAATGCCTGGGGTGAGAAACAGGAGAAGCAACAGACCACAATGCAATATGGACATGTGCCTGCGTGTGCACACAGAAACACAGAAACACACACAGAAACATACATCCCTCAGAAGCCCAGATAAACACATGCAATGCATACCTGCCTGCCTTCACAACCACACCCACCCCAGGCAGATGTGTGGGCAGTAGACACTGGCAGCGTGTGAAGACGTCACTGTAGGGAGGGAATATGGGTTTTGAGATAGAAAAAGTCCAGAATTCAAGTTTTCTTTGCCGCCTACTCTGTGACCTTGGTGTTTTAGGGACCTTGGTCATGAGGTCAGGGGACTCCATCCTCATTGCTCCCTGATATTCCAACAGGGAGTGAAGGGCTTTGTGCTCAGGCAGGGATGCAGGAGAGTGCCGGGTTGAATTAGAGGCCACTCAGCCTGCTTGCTCTTTCATTGAGGCTGTTCTCTCTTCCAGCCAAGAGGAGGGTCTGCTCCGTTCTCTCATGGAATGGGGACAAAGTAGCCAGCAGGCCAATCTGCCCACAACAGAGCAGGATGTAAAGATGGCAGAGCTCCTGCACTCAGCCCCTCTTCTGATTAGATAACTTATATGACCTGTCTATTCATCTGTGAGGTGAGGATGATAATAATAAGTGTCAGGGAATGAACAGTGACCCATGGACAGCACTTACTAGGTGGACAGCATGGACAAGCATGTGGGCAGTGCTTGCCGGGGCAGGGCCTCTTACCACTCGCCTCTTGCTGATGGATGGCCTGGGCTCCCAGGACCATGTCTTCCCAGAGGGTATCACATCCATCCATCTCCAGATGAAAAAAATGCTGCTGCATGTTAAGACAAGCTATTCTTTTTTTTTTTTTTTTTTTTCTAAAGACACAAGGTCTTGCTCTGTCACTCAGGCTGGAATACAGTGGCATGATCACAGCTCACTGCAGCCTTGACCTCCCAGGCTCAATCAATCCTCCCATCTCAGCCTCCCAAGTAGCTGTAACTACAGGCACGTGCTACCACGCCTGGCTAACTTTTTTTTTTTTTTTTTTTTGAGATGAGGTCTTGCTATGTCATCCAGGCTGGTCTCAAATTCCTGGGCTCAAGCCATCCTCCCACTTCATCCTCCTAAAGTGGTGGAACTGCAGATGTGAACCACCACACTTGGCCTAGGAGAAGTTGCTTTCTGAGTCAGTCTTCTTACCTATAAATTAGGGATAATAATAGAGCTTACTTCATAGAGTTGCTGCAAGAAAGGATTATATGTATGAAGCGTCTTCATCCTGGCACAAGCTAAACTTTGGTAGCAGCTGCTATTGCTACCCATATTGGGCATATTGTGTGACCAAATAATGCAGCTGTGAAGCTGATGTTCAGATGTACGCGTGTACAGTGTATGTCAAACAAATGCTCGCTGGGGGCTGTAAACAAGCATATGTGTACACCTCCCTCTCTCAGGGTCACACTGCTCACTCCATGCTGCCACCCCTAGGGCCACAAAAACCGTCTCCTGAGGCAGGCCAGAGTCTATGAGGCTTGGCTGCGGTCCAGCCGGGACTCAGATGTCAAGCCCTGCATTATTGAGATCAGAGCCTTTGTCCCTCCTTGCTCCTGGCTCTTGGTTGCCTGTCCTCCGTTTCCCTCCAGGCTTTGCATGGCACAGGCAGCCACTCCGGGGGGGGCTCAGGGCTCCCCTGTAGCCCCAGGCAGGCCTTGGCTTTGTACCAGTATCTCTTCCGGTGCCCCGCAGGTCCAGGCCAGCTCCGGGCTGCACTTTGGCAGGTGAGGGAGGGGCACTGCCTTAGAAGGAAGGAGACAGCCGGGGACCTGACATCACCTTGCCCCTCCAGGTGCAAAAGGGCTGCGGGTGTCCCCCGGGGCTGGAGCTGCCCCTTGTGCTGCTGCAGATGGAGTGGAGCCGGCGGGCCCAGGAGCAGGTAGGGGCTGGCTGGGGGTGTGGCTGAGGCCAGGGTGGGTGCCCCCTCACGCCTTGGCACCCCATCTTCCTGCAGCTCCTGTGGGACTTGGAGCTGCTGACTGGTGTGGAGCTGGGCCTCTTCTGGCCACCCCAGGCCCAGTTTTTCAGTCCGAGGGGCCAGGCCCAGCATGCATGGAGCCAGCACTGTCAGCCAGGTGGTAGCACGGGTGGGGACCCCGAGCAGCTGGTGAGTGGGTGAGGGGGCACGGCGGGGACAGAGGTTCTGGGGACACTGGGGCCCTGCTGTGGTGAGGGCAAGTAGAAGGGGCACGGTTTTGGAGACAGGGCTGGGTTCGAATCTCCATGCTGAACCCCCTGTGGGCTCTGAGTCTACCTTTCCTCAGCTAGAAAATGCCCATGAGGCCGGGCACGGTGGCTCACGTCTGTAATCCCAACACTTTGGGAGGCTGAGGCGGGCGGATCACCTGAGGTTGGGAGTTTGAGACCGGTCTGACCAACATGGAGAAACCCCGTCTTTACTGAAAATACAAAAATTAGCCGGGCATGATGGCACATGCCTGTACCTGTAATCCCAGCTACTTGGGAGGCTGAGGCAGGAGAATCGCTTGAACCTGGGAGGTGAAGGTTGCAGTGAGCTGAGATTGCACCATTGCACTCCAGTCTGGGCAACAAGAGCCAAACTCCGTTTACCCCCAACTCCCCCGCCAAAAAAAAAAAAAAGAAAGAAAGAAAGAAAACACCCACAAGAAGAGATCTTTCTCCAAGGGCTGTCAGGAGGAACAGTGGACTACGCCTGGCACACAGGGCCTGCTCTTCCAGGCAGGCCGTTATTCTCATTCCACAGCTAACGACTGTCTTGGTCAAATCACCTGTGTGGTGATACCTGGAAGCCTTTCCATGTGACCGCCACGTGGGAGGAAAGCAGCCTGGCAGGGCCCCAGAGAGCAAAGGCAATGAAGTGTGCCGCTGAGACACAGGCGCCCACAGCCCCAGCCGCTGGCCTCTCCCTCCAGGGCTGCAGCTGGGCTGAGACTCCAGGAGGGGGTGCTGTGGTGACTGGGCCCAGAACAGAGTGGGGAACTGGGAATGTGGGTCCCAGTCCTGGCTCAGCCAGCAGCTGTCTGAGTCACTTTGGGCAGGTTAGTAGCCCTCTCTGGGCCAAGGCACCCTCAGCTGTAGCAGGAGCGGGTGTTCGTGGTGCAACTTAGGAAGGGTTCAGCCGACATTGCTGGAAAGAACTGTGGTCTCATCTGAGACTCAACTGGGAGGAGGGATCCGTTTCCAAGCCCCTTTGCGTGGAGGGGAAGTGGCGGGCACAGAGGGTATGAATTCCAGGAGGCAGGGATCATTTAGGGGCCATCTTAAAGCCTGGCTGCCACACTGGGGGATGGAGCCATGTGGACTAGGTTGCCCCCAACCCTTCCAGAATTCTAGGCTGCACCTTCTACCCCAGGACAGGGACTCCCTGAGCCAGAACCATCAGCTCCTGGAAGGGTGAGTCTCCCTGGGGAATCCTGCCTTTCCCTCTGTGAACTGGGCTCTTTCTCTGTCACCTTCTGCAGTCCTGCCAGTGCCCTTCGTTATGCCTCCTGGGCTCTTAGTTGCACCCATGGTTGCCCCACGGCCCCTGGAAAGGTTAATCTCCAAATTCCAGCTCCCAGGATCTGGTGATGGGGGAGGAGGGAGGGCACTGGGGGCCTCAAGTGTTTGCATGCTGGGGTGGGGGTCTCTGGAGACTGGCAGGCAGACTCCCTCCCATTCCAGAGCCCATGGGCCCAGAGAGGTGCATCAGAGGCAGCCCTTGAACTCCTGCAGGGGGCAGGCGGGAGACCCATCATCGGCCCCAGATCTGGGTGAAGCCGGGAGTGGTGCAGGCCAAGGGTGGGAGAGCCCTGGAGGACCTGCAGAGCCCACACGCGGTACGTTGTCAGACAACTGGGAGGGCAGGGGCAGCCAGACTGGATTGGGATGAGGCAGGAAAGTTCTCTCCCCAAGTCCCAGGACTTCATTCTTCACTCATTCTTCATCTCACACTTCCTGATGGAGTGCCAGGACACCCAGCGATGGCAAGTAGGTTTTATTTGATGTGCCAATTCCACCTGGTTGGTACCAGCTGTCTCAGGCAGTGCGTCCAGTAGGATTCTGATGCTAAACTGGGGTTCAGGGGAGAAAGTTCAGGAATGAGCATCACTGGCTGCCCAGGGACGAGGGAACACAATACCAACTCCAGGCCGCCTACTTGCCACCCTTCAGCCAGGCACAGGCCACCTCTTTGCCACCCTTCAGCCAGGCACAGGCCACCTCTTTGCCACCCTTCAGCTGGGCACTGGAGATATACAGAGATCAAGGAGACTGGGTGCCTGTCTTTAGATCACAGGCTAGAAACAGCATGACAATAAACAGGCAGTGGAATGGATACTATGAGCCTTGAGCCTATTAATTTAAATGAAACAGACTCTCAAATTGTTAAATAATAGATGTAGCAAAGCCACAAGCTTTTTATTGTTCCACCATGCACATGAGAGAGAAGAAAACTGCCAATAATTATTTTCTGATTGACAGAGAAGTTTTTACAAGTATTTTGAGAAGACAGGGATATATATCTTGAGAAGACAGGGCTATCAATTATAACATTACCAGAGAAATAAATTTTCTAGTAAGACAACCGATGAGAATTAGAGGTGGGAGGTTGGAGGTTGTTTTTGCAGTTTGTGGCAATTATTTCTAAAGGCCCAGGAGTCTTATAAGACTCCTTTGTTCAAACAACTCTTTGAAAGATGTGTTTTCACAGAGAGTGCACCCATTTGGTTACTGTTATGAATATTCACACGTCTGATATTGCACAAGAGAACAAGATGCAGTATTCTTGGGAAAGATCTCAATTTCAGACCTTATGAAATCCCTTTTAACCAGTTTTATGGATGCAGAACAGCGCTCCTTCTTCCACAGCTGCAGGGGAGCGGCAACACATCAGCTCTGTTTTTAGATTTCTTTTGTTAATTATGAACACTTGCAGTTTTTAGGCCAGCCTCTGGCCTAAAATTTCATCTTGAATTTCCTTTGATTTTGCTGTCAGAAACAAAGAAAAGGCTAAGGGAGGTTTCTTCTAAGTAAGAGTAAAAAGTAAGATGCCCAGAGCGGGTTTCTTCTCTGGGCCTGATGGGCACACCAGGACAAAGCGGGAGTAGCCGGTGCTGAGGGACCCAGGCGCCCAGCACCGTGACCCTTCTCACTCCCAGGCCTCCCGTGGTGGTCTTGAGGAGGAGGCTGTGCAGGTCCCTCTGGAGTGGTCTGCCTTGGCTGGGAGGATGAGAAAGATGGGGTGGGCTGTTGGCAGGCACACATGACAAATAAGTGCGTGGCTGGCTGATGAACTGTGACAGCCTGAGGTTCAGACAGGGCCCTCAGGGCACCCCTAGCCATGTGCTGGGACTCCCTAAACTTCCTGGCTCTAGTCTAGGTGGACTGTGCATGAGGGGACATGAGCTCCCAACACCGGTCTTTCTTCCTCAGGCTCCTTACAAGAGCTGAACCCCACTACCAGGAGGAGCTTTGGGGTGCCAGGCAGCTCAGAGTACAAGGTGAAAAGGTCAAGCGTCTCAGGTTGGGGATGGCAGGGGTGGGTCTGCGTGGGAGGAGGCTGCTGGGGTGAGGGGGAGGCTTTTCAGTGAAGCACCTTCCACACTACATTAAATGGCTTTGACAAATTCAGGAATCAGGCAAGGGCTGGCCCCTGGGGTCGGGTCTGCAGGTTCCCTGTCAAGCCTGGGCCCAAAGTGCTCTTCCTTTCCAGGACCTGGCCCAGAGGGAAGAGAGGAGTGAGGCAGAACCTGAGACCCAGGAAAGAAAGCTCACTCCCAGGACCCCTGGGCCAGGGGACCTGCCCTCCCAAAACCTGCCTTCCCAAGATGCCCTTGAAGAACTGGGCTGGAACCCGCACCTGGGCCAGGAGAGAGCAGAACTTCAAAGACCGCCAAGGATGGACACCCCTCAGAGTCTGAGAGAGGAGGACCCTCAGGATCAGAAAGCAGAGACCCCTCAGCATAAGAGAGGGGAGGCCTCCCGGGGCGAGATCAAAGATGCTCCTCAGCGTCAGAGGGTGAAGACACAGAGGGGCCAGAGCCCAAGGGCTCCTCAGGGTCAGAGGGAGGAGGCCCCCCTGGGTGAGAACACGGGCGTTCCTCAGAGTCGAAGAGAATTTAGTCCTAAGTGCCAGGGAAAGGCGAGTCCCCAGAGTCTGGGGAAGATGCTGCGGTCTTGGGAAGGCAATATCTCACAAGCCTGGGAGGTGGCTCCCGGGGAGGCCACTGTACAGCTCCCAGAGGAAGGCGGCTCCCGGAGCCATCAGAGGGACTCCTGCGGGTCCCTGAAAGCACAGACTCCAAAGCCTGTGGGCAGGGAGAGCCCAGACCTCCGGAGAAGGAGAAGGACTACCGCGATGATGCAGGGCAGGATCAGAGGCGAGACACAAAAGTCGGCACCGGCGGTGGCAAAGCTAGGAGTCGCCCAGGAGGGGGCGTGGGCTGCGCTTCCCACCCCGAAGCCCCCGGCCCGGCAGCTGCTTCCAGGTCGCGGAGCCGGAGCTGTGATGCCAGCGACCCTGCGCGCCAAGGGATCCGGGCAGCAGGGGCTCCCCGGGGGTCTCCGGGGGCCTCCAGACCCGGAGCGCAATCCGCACGGGCTGCAGGGCCCTGGAGTGGGCCCCGGCCCGGGAGAGCAGGAGGTGGGCCAGGCTCGGCTTCCGGGTGCCCTCCGGGGTCGGGGGGGCGGTCCTGAGCGTCCCAAGGCCTCGAAGGCCGCGTGGCCGGCGCCCCTAGGCAGGGCCAAGGCGCCTGCGGGCTTGAGCGTGGCACAGCAGGAGACGGCTCTGCAGCGGCTGCTGGAGCTGCACAGCGCAGCCAGGTGGCGGCGCCGGCGGGACCGTGAGCAGCAGCGGCTCCGGGTGCGTCCTCACGCCGGGATTGGGGCCTGCCTGGGGCGGGCGGGGCACCGAGGGGCGGCCGGACGCTGACTGCCCCTCTGCAGGTCCTGGAACGCCTCCACATCGCCAGGAACCGCCACTGCCGGGTTCACCCCGTGGGGCTCCCGCCCTGCTCAACTCCCGCCACAGGCAAGACCCCCAGAAGGCGGTGGGGCCACAAGGAACCTGCACGGGGCAGGGGCCGAGCTTGGTGCGCCCGGGTCCCTTTGAAGTGAGCGCACTGCACTCTGGCAGTGACTCGGGCGGGCGGGGCGCGAGGGGCGGGTGTGCCAGGTGCTGCCCCGCCCGCCCCACTGAGCCGCGGATGCTCAGCGATCTGCACCGCCAGGAGGACGCGACTGGGCGGCGGCGCGCCCTGCGGGAGCAGCTGGAACAGATGCATCGGGAGAGGACCGGGCGGCTGCGGGCCCTCGGGGCCAGGTGAGGGGCGGGCAAGGAGGCGCGTGGCGTTGGCAGGAGTCCCCTTTCCCTGGCCTCCGAGATGACAGGCCGCTCTCCCCGCAGGAACACTCAGAACTTCCTGGAACTACTGTGTTCCCCTGGTGCTGCGGATCCCGTGCCTGCAGAGTAGTGCTCGCCCTTCCCAGCCCCCTCTGGTCATTGCTAGGTATTCAAAGGGATGATTAAAGAGATGAGGGTTACGGAAAAAGCAAGAGGGCAACTTTTGCAGGTCAGATAGTTTCAGAAAGGCCTGAATGCAGCCTCAGGGCCAGGGAGCGCAGAGGGGCACAGACACACACAACAGCTTTGCCCCACCGGGAGGCCTGTTATTTCTTCTTCCCTCCCCTAAGCCCACACCTGGCCCACCGTCAGAGGGCCAGGTCTCGGGGATCAAGCAGTGCGAAGGCCCCGTTCTTGCGGAAGAATGACTCAATGCGGCACATCTTGCAGGAGACCAGTTCTTGCTTCACTGGGGGGCCTGGGAAAAGATGTTAGAGGCCAAGCATGGGTTCCTGAGGGAAGGACACACAGAGCATGGGAGCCCTGTCTGTCTGCACAGCCCTAGGAATCCGTCAGTGGAGTAGCCACTTTGTGGGAAGAAACGGAAAATGCTTTGGAGGCATGGGAGCTACCTGCAAATACTGGGAGCTGGTTGGAGGCCAGGATACATACAGCAGCCATCTGCCATCATTACCCCAGCTTCAGGATCCTCTACCTGCCAGGAGGGGAGCCACCCTAGCCTGCTTGTCACAGGGACAGACTGTGAAGAGATGGGACTTCCTTCTGTCTCCTGCTCCCCCCTTCTAGGGCTTGCCTCCTGCTTTTGTTAGAAAGTTATTTCTCTGACTTTCCCTTTAGGGGCCTGGGGGAAAGGGATGTTTGGGGGCAAAATCTCAACTGAGTCAATCCCCAACCATCCACCTTTTCTGCAAGACACTTAAGCAGCTGGAGAAGGACACAGGGCCGAGGAGTCTCACTTGACATTCATGAGCACAGACAACAATGGGACGTGCAGCAACATCGCCCAGCAGCCCTCTCTGGCACATGCCTGTTCCACACCTTTCCTCTTCATCTCTGCTACTCCACTGCCTGAGCTCGGCTCCCTCCCCACTGATGGCCTTGACTCAACCTCACAGAAAAAAGACTCAGCCCAGATGGACAGCCTTCCTGCCTACGCCATCCCCTACCAGCCTCTGGCTCAGCCCTCCTGCCCCCACTCCCATCAGATTCCAGCAACTTGAGCTCCCTAGGTGATCTCACGGATTTAAATAGCACCTATAGGCCGGGCAGTGGCTCACACCTGTAATCCCAGCACTTTGGCAGGCCGAGGTGGGCAGATTACGAGCTCAGCAGTTGGAGAACAGCCTGGCCAATATGGTGAAACCCTGTCTCTACTAAAAATACAAAAATTAGCCAGGCATGGTGACACGTGCCTGTGTAGTCCCAGCTACTTGGGAGGCTGAGGCAGAAGAATCTCTTGAACCTGGGAGGCAGAGGTTGCAGTGAGCCGAGATCATGCCACTGCACTCCAGCCTGGGTGACAGAGTGAGACTCTGCTTCAAAAAGAAAAAAAAAAAAAAGCACCTATATTCAAATGACCTCCGAATTTGCATCTTCAGCTCTGACTTCAATCCAGACTTATAGAACAGTCACCCTACAGACACTTCAAGCATAACATAGGCAAACACACATGACTAAATAGGACCTGTTCATGCACACTCCAGCCCTGACCTCTCCCAGTCTTCCCTGTCACTGCGGCTTTAGCTAAACACCTGGGTGATTGTTCTCTCTTCCCCTTATTCTCACATTCTATCCATGGGTGAGTTCCACTGAGTCTTCCCCCAAAACATCCTGAATTGATTTCAGCTCTATTGCTGATTCCTCAGGCCACTACCACAGGGTAACAAAATAGATGCCCAACTCACGTGCCAGATTCTACCATTTCCCCTGAAAAAGCCACTGCCTACATACAGGTCAGAGTGACTTTTTTTTTGAGACGGAGTCTTGCTCTGGCGCCCAGGCTGGAGTGCAGTGGCATGATCTCGGTTCACTGCAAGCTCCGCCTCCCGGGTTCACACCATTCCCCTGCCTCAGCCTCCTGAGTAGCTGGGATTACAGGCACCCGCCACCACGCCCAGCAAATTTTTTGCATTTTTAGTAGAGATGGGGTTTCACCATGTTAGCCAGGATGGTCTCGATCTCCTGACCTCGTGATCCGCATGCCTCAGCCTCCCAAAGTGTTGGGATTACAGGCGTGAGCCACCGCGCCCGGCCCAGGGTGACTTTTTAAAAGGTTCATCAGTGTCACTCTTGAAACCTGCTTAGAACCCTCCATCAGCTTCCCTGCACACCAAATAAAATCCAAACCCATCCTTATCATCTGGCTGTTGGCCTCAGGTCCTCAGAAAGGCCTTTCCTGAAAATCCAATAAATAGCAGCACATGGCCGCTGCCTCCCCGCCCACCACCACTCCCTAGTTCTGTGGCACATGTTGACACTTCTTGGTCATCTCCTTGCTCTGTTTATGGTCTGGACCCTTCACTAGGATGCCCACTCCCTAGGACATGGCAGGTGCTCTGTCTTTGAGGTGATTTCCAAGAGGTTGGGCTCACCCAGCTGCCAGCCGTATGTGAAGCTGGTGGTGACGGGGAAGAGGTATCGCGTCTCTGGCATGTCCAGTTTTCGAGTGTTGAGGTAGCGGTAGCGCCCCTGGAAGTCGTGGGAGATGCCTTCATACAGCAGGGCTCGGGTGACAGGTGGTACTGGGTACATTTCTGACTGAAAAGGAGCCTCTGGGACAGGGCTGGGCGCCTTGGAAGGGGCTGACTTGGGGGTGGGTGGGGGTGAGAGTGGGGCTTTGGGGTGCAGGGTGGGCAGTTTGAGGGGCAGGCGGGCTGCAGCCTTAGCCTTCTGCTTGGCCTTCACCATCGACCCATACTTGCGGTACCATTCACAGCGCAACATCTTTTCCCTCAGATATTCCTCCTTCCAGAAGTTCTGCCGTAACGTGTCTATGTTGAGCTGCCGTGACATGGTGGCCAGGGAAGGAGTGGCACCAGGGTGGCTGCAGCTGAGGGGTGAGCACAGCAAGCAGAGTGCTTCTGATGGCGAGTGGCTGCCCTGGCAGTCACCTAGCAACCATGCCTCACCTCACACAGGGCCAGGGTTCTACTTGCTGTGCCCCCAGCAGACCCCATGAACCCGGCTTCCTGAGGCAGCCTGGGGCCAGGGCCCACTGGCTAAGAGCCCTGCTCCCCAAACCTCCCGCAGGGCCCACGCGGGATCTGGCATCAGAGGCTTCCAGGTTTTGTGTGCTTTCTGCGTCTGTCCTTTGGGTCTGGCCCCCTTCCCAGCCCAATGCTGAGCAAGGTGGGGGAGGTGGGGGCTGGGCTCAAGCTTCCTCCCAATCCTTCCCAGACCAGAGCTGGTCTTCTCTGATCCAAGGACCAGTCCTTGAGTTCTGCCTCCCAGCACGATCCTCTTGGGCCAGCTCTTCTATGCCTGTCTTTGGCAGCACCTTTTTCCATCCTTGCCAATTGAATCTGCCCCATGGCCTCACCCCACACATGTACTTTCCAGCACCCAGCCCGTTTGGAGAGAAGCAAGAATATGACTTTAATTTAACATCAACAATGACACTGTGTAACAGCACAGGGAACAGGTAGTGGAGGGAGATGGTCAGGCTTCCTGTTCCTTAACCAGCTTTAACAGCAGAGCCCCAGCAACCTAGAAGTGCCTCACCTAGCCTCTTAATGGAGTGGGAATGGGCAGGGAATTGGAAATCAGAGGCTCAAAAAGTAAAGAAGGCTGATGGCAAGCCTGGGGAGAGGCCTGGAAACGAGGGAAGGGCTGAGGGCTGTGAGGAGTCCCCTAGCGCAGGTCTTCAGCAGTGAACATGCCCCTGGCCCTGCGCAGAATGGAGTCCTTGGCGGCGTCATATGGGTGCTCCTTGGAGGGGATCTCCAGGACAGCGGGGATGGAGTGCTGGTGGGCGTCCAGGGCATGCCGCACCATCTCTGCGATGTACTGGTTGATGAGGATGATGCCAATGTCATCCCGGTTTAGAAACTGCCTGTGGGGAGAGATGAGACGGGAGTCTAGGGCAGCTCTGGGGGCTGCCTTCTCTCCTGCCTCCAAGTTGTTGGGCTGGGCAGTGGAGGAGAATGAGTGTGACCCAGAGGGCACAGAGGACAAGGAGAAAGGCGGCCACGCTCAACCCTATGTCAACTCTACCAAGAATCAATTTCATCCCAAAGCGGAGGGTCATGCTGACTAGGGTTGGCTTCTGCAACGCTGCCTGAAACGCTTCCAAGTGAACTGGTAATGAAAATTAGGGTGCACACTGCAGTGATGGTGTCAACCCTATGTCAATATGCAGTGATGGTGTCAGAAAGGGGAAGGATAAGATTATATGTATACAGATCCTTTTTTATGTGCAGATACTGAAGGCCGGGTGCAATGGCTCATGCCTGTAATCCCAGCACTTTGGGAAGCCGAGGCGGGTGGATCGCTTGAACCCTGCAGTTTGAGACCAGAATGGGCCACATAGTGAGACTCCCATCTCTACAAAAAAAAAGAAAAAAAAATGTGTACATATATACAAAAAATTGGCTCGATGTGGCGGCATGTACCAGCTGCTTGGGAAACTGTAGTCCCAGCTACTTGGGAGGCTGAGGTGGGAGAATCACTTGAGCCTGGGAAGTCGAGGCCACAGTGAGCTGTGATCACGCCACTGCACTCCAGCCTGGGTGACAGGAGTGAGACCCTGTCTCAGAAAAAAAAAAAAAAAAAAGGACACATTAACTTTTAGAAAGAAAACAAATTAATTTAAAAATAGGGCTGATGAGACCACTGAAGGCCTCAAGGTCTATGCTGATGAGGGTGGTGGAGGGGTCAGAGGGAAAGTCTGGCATGAACCAAGATCACAAGCTAGGAAGAGGACACTCTGATGAAGGAATCATACTTTCTGCCCAAAAAGAACCTGGCCTCGTGATCCTCCTCTCCTGTGATCACCCACCCATTCATTCGTTTATTTTATTTTTTTGAGACAGGGTCTCCCTCTGTCACCCAGGCTGGAGTGCAGCGGCGGATCTCGGCTCACTGCAACTTCCGCCTCCCAGGTTCAAGCAGTTCTCCTTCTTCAGCCTCCTGATTTGCTGGGATTACAGGCACCCTCCACGACGCCTGGCTAATTTTTGTATTTTTAGTAGAAATGGGGTTTCACCATATTGGTCAGGCTGGTTTCGAACTCCAACCAGCCTGGCGGGTGGAACTCAGGTGATCCACCCGCCTCGGCCTCCAGAAGTGTTGGGATCACAGGCGTGAGCCACCGCGCCCAGACTCATTCATTTATTTACTGGTTAAAAATTATTTACTGAGCACCCACCCCCCGCCAGTCACTGGGTTAGATTTGATCTCTGAGGTCCCTTTTGATTGGAAACATAAAAAATTCTTGAAGTAAAATTTGTCCTTCTCCCATGGTAACTTGGGTCACTTTACCAGACAGCTCAGAGATCGGCAGGTAACAGCCTACCAGGTCAGGAACTACCTAATACACCAGGCAGCAGGAACCAGTCTCAGCCGGCAGCCCTGGGCTGGACTGTTTGGGGGGAAACAGGTGAGTGGTTTATTCCTGAGACTTAGTACAGCGAACCTGAAGAAGGGGTGAGGGATAGAATAGGAGGCTGTTATCCTCAATTCAGGTCACCAGGACCCCTGGTGGATTAAAGGCATGTCTGCGCCCACACTCTGACCTAAGGCAGGGAGTGAGGGCTTGAGTGCAAGGTCTTAGCAGAAGGCTCTCACAGTCCTGACATTTTCTGCCTACTGTGCTCAAGAGCAAAGGGAAATTCCGAGGCCGACTGAGGAGAGCTGTACAGAGTGTGTACCTGGCTTACCAAAGGCAGAAAGGGTTAGGATTAGGTTCAAATTCCAGGTCTGCCTCTGCCCACTTGTAACTTTAGTGTGTGCCTTAACCTCTCCAAGCTTTAGTTTTCTCACCTGTAAGTAGGACAAAATCACCCCTGCCTTACCGGACGACGGTGAGCCTGTAAAGGAGGGGAAAGCAGAACAAAGTCCGAGCCCACTGCCTAGCCCGTCACGAGCTCTGTTCCCCTTCTTTCCTGACACACGATCATGTGAGGTGGGGAGCTCGTGGACCTGATACAGCGTCGGTGCCACCCAGCCCCAAACGGGAACTTGGGGCGCAGCGGCGGGCGGGCGGACTTTCACGACCATCCCCTAACCCCCGTCCGGGCCTCACGCCTCGGTCCCCGGGCCGCCTCCACCCTCGCCCCGCACTCCACCAGGCAGCAGAAGGGCCCGTTCAGGCCTCGCGCGCTACCGTACCGGAAAGTGTCTTCGATTTCATTGATTGTTGTATCCTTCTCCACCACCAGGAAATTGGGGTGGCGGTTCTTGTTAAGCTCCCCTATGCCGCCCAGCAGGAAACCAGTCACCGTGTCCTCGTCTCCGATGACTGCGATGAGCTTCCCCCTCCCCGCCATCCCCGCTGCCGGGCAGAGCTCACCCGAGAGCACCAAAAGCCGCCGAAGCCCCGCCTCCGCCGTACGGCTCCCCGTCGGCCCCACCCCCCTTCGGGCATGCGCAGTTCTCCGAGCCGCATTCCGGGACATGCGCATGAACAGCAACACGGCCTCCATGTGAATACGCCTGCGCCATAAAGACAGGCCCGAAGCAGGGGACTACGATTCCCAGAAGGCTGCGCGGCACCACCTCCTTCGCGGGCATTCATTCGTTCATTGACTCTTTCCTTGGTTCATTCGTTCAACAAGCGATTTGAACCTGGCGCTGTTTAAACGCCGAGATCCCAGAGAAGAGACGCAGTTACTGATCTCATCGGCAGGGTCTGGGTCTTTATCGTGTATGTGTGTACCTATGACACATATTTAACAAGTAATACGCATTTGTTCAATTAAAGGAATGCAGAAGTTAGTGATGATACTGTCTAGTGAGATGGAAAGTCAAGGGAATAGGCGACTACAGAGCTGTGTGTTAATGGTTAGAATGTGAAAAGTATATGGAAGCACACATCCATGGTAACTAACCCATGGAGAGAGGGGGCATCCAAAGAACCCTTCCCCAAGAAACTTGCTTCAGATCTAAGCTGAGACCTGAAGGACCTGCAGGATGAAGGGGATAGAAGTGAGGACAAGACGGTGTTCTAGGCAGAGGAAGAGCATATGCAAAGGCGTACTGACTAGAGAGCGTAGGGCCTTCAAGGAAAGTTAAAGAATTGGTAAGGCCAGGCATGGTGGCTCATGCCACGCCTATAATCCCAGCACTTTGGGAGTGCTTCCCTGATGGAGGAGGATTGCTTGAGCTCAGGAGTTGGAGACCAGCCTGGGCAACACAGTGAGACCCTGTCTCTGCAAAAAATTTTAAAAATTAGCCAGGTAGGCCAGGTGCGGTGGCTCACTCCTGTAATCCCAGCACTTTGGGAGGCCAAGGCAGGTGGATCACCTGAGGTCAGGAGTTTGAGACCAGCCTGGCCAACATGGCAAAAACCTGTCTCTATTAAAAATACAAAAAATTAGTTGGGCATGGTTGTGGGCACCTGTAGTCCCAGCTACTCGAGAGGCTGAGGCAGGAGAATTGCTTGAACCTGGGAAGTGGAGACTGCAGTGAGCCGAGATTGTGCCATTGCACTCCAACCTGGGCGACAGAGCGAGACTCTGTCTCAAAAAAAAAAAAAAAAAATTAGCCAGGTGTGGTGGCGCACACTTATAGTTCCAGGTACTCGAGAGGCTGAGGCAGCAGGGCTTGCTCAGGAGTTCAAGGTTACAGTGAGCTATGATCAGGGCACTGCACTTGAGCCTGAGCAGCAGAACGAGACCCTGTCTGAAAAAAAAAAAAAAAAAAAGGGATCTGCAGGCCAGGTACGGTGACTCACGCCTGTAATCCCAGCACTTTGGGAGGCCGAGGCAGATGGATCACCTGAGGTCAGGAGTTTGAGACCAGTCTGGCCAACATGGTGAAATCCTGTCTCCACTAAAAGTACAAAAAACATTAGCCCAATGAGGTGGTGTGTGCCTACAGTCCCAGGTACTTGGGAGGCTGAGGCAGGACAATTGCTTGAACCCGGGCAAGGGAGGTTGTGGTGAGCTGAGATGGCGCCACTGCACTCCAGCCTGGGTGACAGAGCGAGACTCTGTTTAAAAAAAAAAAAAAGGATCTGGAAGTTATCCTGAGGACAGAGTTATCCTGAAGCCGCTGAGGGTTTTCAAGTAAGAGAGTGCTATCACCAAACTTACGTTTTAGAGCTGTCACTCACTGTGACTGTGCTGTGAGCGGAGGCGAAATTGAGGGAGGAAAAACCAGATTGGGAGGCCATTGTGAGAGATAATGGTGGCCAGAACTCAGGTGGTGATAAATGGGAAACACAGAGAAGTAGGTAGAGCCGAGAGATATTTAGATAT